ATCAGATTTCCCAAAGCCGCTCCGAACCTGCCGAACATCATCGTCAGAGACACTGCCATGGTTCTGCGAAATAATATACATAGTGTTTGGGTGTTAATTAATGGAGTGTCGATACTTCAGGGTGTATACTGCTCCACAAAAGTTAAGGAAGTTTACAAATATTGAGATTAATTTAGAAGTTACAGGTTTTTTGATCGCCAAATTTAGTATGAGTTGTAGAGGCAGCGGCAAAAAATCCACTCAAATATGAGAGAAAACATTTAATTTCGCAAATTTGAAAATATTCACATCCTGAAGTTTCGGTACTCAATCAATTAACACCCTGTATGCAATATTTAAATAACCGCGATATATGAGAAACTCAAAAGTTTTGAACAATAAATTAATGCAACAACAGGATGCATACCTTAATGAAGTGGGTATAAGATCTACAACGACTGCTAATATGACATTGATTCCAATACTACCAAACGTTACGAACATCGATGATAATAAGATAGTCGACGTTATGGTTTTCGAAAAATATAGGGTCATCGACATTGAGCCGGAAATCAAACCTAAAATGCCTGAAAGAAGAAAATTTGCTCTATAATCAGGTTTCAACGCACTATATCAAAATTTAACCCTACATAATATCGTTTTCTTCCCCAATGAATTGATCAGTGTTCCTGCTGTAATGTAGCCAATGATACTAGTAGTAGCCACAATCATAGAATTGGTATAAACTTCCGAATTATTGGAATTCTACAACCACAAATATTTTACACACCAAGTAGACAGACATCCACAATTTATTCGTCCTTACCGCTTCGCATTTGAATTTAGTCACGTTAATATCGTCGTACTTGGGCTGGAAAATTTCCAAACTGTCGCAGAGAGGAGCGCTTCCGTTGTGCTGGAATTTATAGTCGTTCATCGCTTGGTAAATTTGAGGCAGCCACAATCTTAGCGTGTTCACCCTATATATAAACAACAGCGTTATTGCATCAGTTGTTATAAAATCGATTAGAATTTCCCTCACCCCATCATTATTAAAAATTGCAACGCAAAAACCAAAATGATCCTCGGCACGTGGGGCCCCACGAAAATCGGCTTCATCTGGTGGATGCCGCCTTTGAACATCTGCCGCGCCGTTTTCGTTACAGTAACACCATCGTTATCTTCGTTAACGTCTTTGTTAATGTCGTAGTTGTTGTTCAACGTTTCGTCGATTAAATATTTTATCTAAAAAATATCGCCATTCACAAGAGGAACTCCAGGCTTGACGGGATACAAATTCGCTTGTCTCGAACTATTCAGTTAGTTAAATAACTTACTGGATAACTTTCGGCGGGATATCCGGTGTTCACTTTGTAAACTTGTCTGAACACTTCCAGAGCTTTCGCGTTGTTTCCGGTGGACATCAGGAATTTCGGACTTTCCGGTAGGAAAATAAACGCCACGCCGCTGGCCAGGGCTGGTAGGGAGCTGATCATGAGATAAACGTTCCAGGAGTGAAATTCTGGAAAGGTCCAAACGCTAGCTTAAATTCGTTTCGAGCGTACCACTTACCTAACATTCCCACTCTAAAATCCATGTTAACAGGCAGTATTATTAGTGCCAATACGGGCAGAATAAGGTTACCCAGACTGAAAATCGCCCCCAGAATCATCTGCACCCTGGCCCTCTGCTTGGCGCAGTGGAACTCTGACAGATACGCTGTTAGAGCAGCAAATGGACCGTTAATACTACAAAAAGTCGTTTTATTAAGACCTCTATGTAGGTTTACTGATAAAGCAACTCACATGAAACCACCAAGGAACTTGGCGATCATCAGAAGCGGGAAGTTTTGAGACAAAGCGGCCATCATCAGGAATATCCCGTCCAAGAGCAGCCCGATGATCAAGAGTTTCTTCCTGCCGAACGTGTCGCACAGGAAACCCCAAACGAACGCGCTGGATATCATGCCTTTGTGCGAGAAAAAAATTGTACATTCAAAGCGAAATTCCCAGATAACTGTATTACCTGCATAAGTTACAGCGTTGAGCCAGCCCTTGTCGTTGAGGGTGAGCTGCAGGTCGCATTCCGCGGCGGGAAAAACGTACGACATGGTGGTGGTTTCGAATACTGTAGACCATCCTGCGGCCGTCGAAATAACGTACAAGATAACGTTGAATTTACCGTAACCGGAGGTGGAAATGGCCTTTTCAAAATCCGCTGGTTCTGCATCTGATAGATCAATTTTAAAGTCATGTAAAAGCGATCTGTTATTGAGCACGTTGCTTCATTTATCATTCATCCTCTGCAGAGTAGGATTATGAATGATTAATGATTATGCAACTAGAAGGGTATATAAATTGCTTCTAAATTTATGTGGAGTTTTTCTTTGTTTCACAATTACACTTTTAAGTAAGATGTAGGTTTAGGTTGAGCTATGTATCTCTAAATAATGCAAACTAATATCATGTATGAATGGTTTTTGTTGCAGGAGAATTGTGTTAAGAACTCACCGTGTATAAGAACTGCCTCCAACTTCGAAAACGAATGGACTTTGGTCTCCTTTGGCATATTTCGAAATATTAAATAGAACTACTTGATCCATCCCTCTCAATAAGGGATGGCGTAATTCGCAAAAACTCTGTTTGGTTTTTGTGTTTCGGGGGGAATTCGCCGAGCGAAAGCGAGTCTCGGATGTTCGCTCGCGAAAATTCCTGCGGATCGACTGGATCGGCTTGAGAGGGTCGCGGAAATCGATAGCAGCTGGTCCTGGTCTGGCCTACGCGCATGGAAATCGGATAAATTGGTCAGTGGAAAATTACCGATGACGGTTGGAAAACGATGAGTCGTTTTGCTTCCTGTTTCCTGCATTTTTCGCGGGAAAAGGCTTGAGTGGGTTGGGTGAAATTATTCAAATTCACGCTAAACAGGGTGTTAATTAATTGAGTGCCGACACTTCAGGATGTGAATATTTGGATGATTTTAAGAAGAAAAGTTTATATCAATATATGTCTTAAACCTCTTAGTTTTCGAGTTTACAGGGTTTTGCAGTTTTAGAAAAAAATAACTTTTCTATCATAATTTTTTTATTACTCTAGATATTTTTATGAAATTTCGGATGTGGACGACACTGGTAATAGTAAAAAATTATTTTTTGTAAAAAGTGTTTCCATGCGTACGAACCAATTTGTTAGGACCGAAATTGCTCCAAAATAAATGAGGATTTTAAAAATAATTTTGGTTTTTAGAAAAGCAGAGGCTTTCTTCAAACATATTCAGTACAAACCCTGTAGGGACGTAACTGGTAAAAATTTTAAAAAAATATTTTGCCTCAAAAAATGCTCCTTAATAATTAAAAAGTGTATAAAATTTCATAAAAATATCTGGAGTAATAAGGAAATTATGACAAAAAGTTTTTTTTCTTAAATTGTAACACCCTGTAGCTCGAAAACTAAGAGGTTTAGGACCTATATTGATAAAAACTTTTCTTCTAAAATTCATCCAAATATTTACATCCTGAAGTTATCGGTACTCCATTAATTAACACCCTATATTTAGGAATTTTTTTAATATTGTAAAAGAAAATTAAAGAAAATCTTTATAAATCACAGAATACAGTTGAGGTAAGAAATATACATAACAAAAACATTAAGTAAGTGAAAATTGCTGTGGATTTCTTTAATTAGAACCGTTAAGAATTAACGAGGAAATATTGACATCTTTTAATTTTTTGTCTAATTCGTCATTTTTTCTAGGCTTCACCTAAAACATTTAACATTAAAAATATACAATGATAATATACAAAATTTTTATACCTTTGTTACATTAGCTTTAAAATCAGTTTTCAAAAAATTAACACCATTCTCATTAAATTTCAAACCATAATGTTTGCAATCTATTTCCAGCTCCTTTTCGGAATTATAGAGAAGTAAATCGGTCAAAATAGCTTTAGAAAACAATAAATTTTTACTGCTATATGCCACTGACATCGTTTTGAAACAAGATCTAAAAAACACAATAATATTGGAATTGGTACAAATTATTTATTATAGAAAGTACCTTCTAAGTTCGGGCATATGAAGATACGCCATAATTTGTAAACTCAAAGGCAGAGTTTTTAAAAGTTTGCAAACTTTAAAGTAATTCCCGGATATGTAGCACAAACTCATTTTTACCGAAGTGACCACTAAACTTGTCCTAAAAAAATAGTTATATACAATTATAATTAGATTACTATGAATATAAAATCACCTCCAATTCTTAGATATATTCAAAATCCTATTTATCGCATCGACATCTCCCAAATTAAATATCAAATACAGTGTCTCGAAATAAGGTCTGTGTTCTTCCAAAAAATCATTGGATAAGCACACATCATTCTTCGTAATCTTCTGTAATGTATCGTAATAATCGTACATACATAACAATCTTTTTAAACATTCCTGAAGTTGTTTGTTATTAATGTAGGGATCGAACTGATTAATATCCTCTTCACAAAACCTGAAATTATTACCATCTTATAAGCACAAATTGATTAATTTTTTTGTTACTTACATATACGCAGCAACAGCGTAAAATCTTATGATAGGTTGCAATATAACAATTTGATGAGCCCTAGAAGTGTTCTGAATAATCATGTCTTGTCGCACAGATCTTAATCTGTCAGCAATGAAATCGTATTTAACGATCCAACTTGCATCTTTATTTAAAATGCTAAAAAATAGAGAATAATTTCACACGAATAATACAGAAAAAGCAAGCTTACTTACTCGTTGAATAAATAGTTTAGAGTTTCCAATAAAACCGAAGGGGGTCTTAATTTATCGGGGTCAGTCAGATCTTTTCCTGCGGCTGACCTAGAAAAACATTTAACTGCTCTCTTGATATCCACCTTTGGTCTTGTAAATTTTTGGGGACCGGGTAGTGTTTCAAAAACATGCAACAATCTTTGGCTTTCTCTCCTAAAAAAATTGTTTTTCAAAAATTAGTAAAAAATAGATGAAATAACTTACAGTTTTGCTTCTTCTATAGGACACATATGCGGACATTTTCCTACTATATCATCAGACGAAATATCTTTTTGGTCCATTGCTTTATTAATCAAAAATCTGCAAATATATTTGAAAATGTATTTGTATTTATATTGCGAAAATTGTAACGTTAAATTCTTCTTCTTTTTTATTTAAATTATACGATATACAACGCTAACTTCAGATGACTTACATTATTGATATTTTCTAATTTGACAACGTCGCTTTTTCTGTCACTGTCAACTGTCAGAATCATTCAAGAATGTCATTTATATTGTGCTTTGAAATGGAAATGAGTTTACTGAAATATGTAATATTTTAATGTAAAAAAGCGGTGTCAGCTGTTTGGTAACAAACGTGCAACATTTAAACACCATGAAATCGAAGGGCCGCTTTTTATCCGCCAGGTAATTACCCGCAATGATTTTTATTTGCGCTATTGTGGTTTGGTGAAAACCCTCTTTTCCGAAGAAATCGATCCCTTCCACCTAAAGTATCATTAATATTACGTTTCAGTTTTTAATTTGGTTTTTCACTCAATGAAATTACAAAGCAACCTTAACAAAGATGCCTAATCGAGTTCGTGAATTGTGCAATTGTTGTTATCCGCTTTATGAGTTAGTTTATTATTCAGGTTAAAATTTTCGAGGTGTATTTACCTGAATTATTTTTAAAATTTGCGTTCTTTATTTTTTCGTTATCGGAGGCATTTATTATTTTAATAGAAGCTATTTTAGGTAAAGCGAAATTAATAATGCACGATGTATGTGGGCAGTCATTTAAAATTAGCATGAGATTAAGCAAAGAGGTATTATTTACTGATTAACAATGTAAACAACACACCTTGTAAACACGTAAACTTCACTATATTTTATTAACAATAAACACTATTTGTGTGCATTTAAAAACACCCTCATAGTTGTTATTCTTTCCTGTTTTTAGGAGTAAGTAAATCTCCATCGAAATGAACAGCATAATGCGGAAGTTGACGAGGGGAAGCGGCCCCACTTCCTCGACCTCATCTTCGGACGTCTCCGACGGTCCCTCGTCTCCGCACACTCAACTAGGCCTGATGCATTTGAAGAAGCTCTTCTCGGAGTACACGCATCCCCCTCAACAGCTCACCGACCAGGAGAAAGACGATAAACTTTACAACATGCTGCCCCTCTTTTGTAAGGTGAGGTCTATATCATTCGAATCGCAATTACTTCGTATTTTATTAAATTCACGTGGGTTTTAGGTGTTTGGTTCCAGCCCGACTTGCGACATGAACGAGAAATTTTGGGATATCCTGGCGTTTTGCCATCAGGTGTCGCTGCTGATGGTCTCGGAGATACGGAAGAGGGCCTCGAATCAGAGCACCGAGGCGGCCAGTTGCGCTATCGCCAAGTTTCTGGAAATTGAAAATTGCGAAGAGTCGAGCAACGGGTGGATGTTGTTGTCAACGTTGAATTTATTAGCAGCGGGCGATTATCAGCTAGTGCAAGTTCGTATTGCCCGTTTCGTATGCTCTAAAATGGAGGATAATTTCGGGTTTTTTTCTTTTTCAGGTCATGTCCGAAGTTTCTGTTCCATCGACTCTAGTTAAATGCCTGTATATCTTCTTCGATTTGCCGGAGTTGTCGGAGAAGGAAGCCAACACTAAAGATTCTAATAGCGATTTTACTGCGAAAGAAAGGCGTATTTTATTGCAGAAAATATTTGTTCAAGTAAAGTTTATAGTGTTTGATCGAGTACTTAATTTTATACGTAATTTGTTGCAGCTTCTCGTTCGGCTGTGCAGCCACAGGATACCATCGGAGGAATTAGCCAGAAAGGACGATTTGCAATTGTTATTTTCCGCTATCACGTGTTCCGTGCCCCCGCATAACATTATGTGGAGAAAAAGCGCCGCCGAGGTTCTCATGACTCTATCGAGACACGGTTTAACGCCTTTAGTCGTTGGATATATCCATTGTAAGTCGTGTAAATGGTGTAAATGTTCCATTAAATTTTCCATTGTTTGTTTCAGCTAAATCGTGCGTGGCTGCTTGCATAGAAAATATGAAAAAAATACCGGATTTAGCGCCTTTGGAATTGGTGGAAATGTTTGTAACCCTGTTTTGTTTCCTGAAGGATTCCAGTGAAGTATCTTCGACTTTGTTGGATGATTTTAGACAAGCTCAAGGCTATCCGTTTTTATCCGATTTTCTGCTTAAGTAAGTGATGATTTTTGGTCTATGAAACTCGCTGATGCAATTTGTGTTTTAAGGTTTGAAAACGACAACTCTAGTGAAGCCCAGGAGACCATAAGAAATCTAGTGTTAATGGTGACTTCGTTATGCATGTGTGGGTATTTGGAGTTGAAACCATCTCAGGCTTCTACGGGTTCTTTATTTCAAATGCAAGGTTTTATTTTACCACAACCGTCTGGTAGGGGAACGAGTGTACGAAATATACAATCGTTTCACGTAAGTACACTCATTACAAGTCTATTGCTTTTATTTTAGGCTGTAATTTTTTTAGGTTCTTCAAAGTACTTTCATTAAATCGAACTCTTCTCTTCTGTGCTCGACGATTTTGGACGCTATATCCAGCATATACCACTCGGACAATTCTAATTATTTCATATTGGAAAATCAGAATACTCTAAATCAGTTCATGGAGAAAATCCAGTACAAACCTCCGGAAATCCAACAGAAATTGTTCGATCTCATCGAGTTTTTGGTGTATCAGCTGAATTTCGTTCCCTGCAAGGAGCTGATTTCGATGTCAATATTCCTCAAAACGCATAGCACGAATTACACCGATTGCAGTATATTGTGCATGAAAACCTTATTGGACATTCTAAAACATAATCCTATATTCAAAGACGTTTATCGGGAAGTGGGTTTGCTCGAAGTCGTGGTGACTTGTTTGAATCGGTACGCAACCATTCTCGAAGATAAAAAATTATCAGGTACGTTGAATACTTCGAGCAATTAATTAAATTAGAGAACTGTAAATACGCCTTTACGTTTTTAGGAAGTAACATGAAAGACTGTAAACATATATCAAAGCAAGAGAAATTGGGTGAACTGGTATTGGAAGCATTGACTATTCTTTTGACCAGTAACAGCGCAAACGCGAATGTATTGAGGGAATGCGGCGGTGCAAAATGCATACACAAATTGGTGCAGTATCCCGAATGTAGGACTGCTACCTTGGGTAATAAAATATAAGCTCGCTAAGGCTCATTTATTATGTAATTGTAATTTATATTTTTAGGCATTATAAAGGAATTAGTTCTAACGAGTGGCGGGGACGATGACATGACTCAACTCTTAAATACCCTGCATTCCGCTTCTCGCACGGAACTCCAATTGAAAATCGACATTTTGGAGGCTTTAAAACTCTGTTTAAAGGAATCTCACAGAACACGAACTGTCTTTAGAAAGGTACAAATAAACAAACACAAAACAACTATTTTAAATAACCATTCTGTACTATTTTAGGCAAACGGGTTTGTTTACGTTACGAGCGCTTTGATCGCGCTGGAAGGGCGACTGAATAAGAAAGAAACTAATCCGGAGGTTCTCTATCTATTGAGTCTCGTATTTCAAACGATTTGCACTGCCATGCGATTCGAGCCTGCCAATGCCAAATTGTTCTATCACGAAATATGCAGGACCAGTCTCTGCGATAGCATCAAATTGCTGGGTTGTTTCTCCAACGAGAACGTTAGTAAAATAAGCGAAATCGACTTCGAAGCTCCCTGCAACGGTGGTTTCCAGGAAATCTACCACAATTTGTTTATAGGATCCGTTCTGAACGTCGAGTTAGTATTAATTATTATGTTTTAGGAAGCGTATAATTGTTAATTTACTTTTAGGATACCCGAAAAAATCTCTTCCTCGTTGGCGTACACGACTATAGTGTATAGGTTGTTGTATGATCTAGCGTTGGATCTGTTCGATAAAAATAATGCTAATGTACTCTCTATTAAATCTCCGCCTTTATCCAGAGAATCCAGCATTCAAGTAGGTGTAAAATAACCTCAACGTTGATTTTAAATAAATGCATAATTATTTTAGGGCGACAATAATGGAAAAAGAACGATCAACACTTTAAATCTGAATCCTCCGGCACCGGATCCCATCATCGTACATCCCGGAGTAGTAGTGTGTATGTTACAGCTCCTACCGTGCATAAAAGTAAGTTATAAATTAAAGAATAGGATAATCATTAATTAATTCGAATTTGCAGGACGATCACTTCGAAATGTACCTCAGCCTGCAACTGTTCATAGCGGAAATAATCAAATCTTTGGTACGTAGCGAGCGCAACCAGCAGGTGATGTGCGATAAAAATTTCGCCAGTTATCTGTTGCAAATCGGTTCCGAACCGTTGCAAAACGAAAACCACCCCTTGCACAATTCGCTGCAATACATGCTGGAAAGATTGGCCGCGCAGGCCATCGAACCGAAAGATTTGAGGGAATTTTTAAGGTTAGCGAGTTCAATGGAAATCGCCGTACGAACAAACCGATTAATTAGCGTGTTTTACAGACTAGGCAACCCGTTGTGTTGCCTTAATTTGGGCTCGAACGAAGCCGGTGGCCACCCGGTACCTTTAACCCGAATCAAAACCCTAGTATCCATGACGACGCCTAAGGATTTCCGAGCGCAATCTTCCTACACGCTGCCGCCCTTCGTCGAATTCGACATGTCCGCGGAGGGTTTCGGGTGCCTGTATTTGCCCAGCATCGCTCCCCAATCGCCTTCCACACCGAGCGTGGTGTCTTCGGTGGACAGCAACGTCTTGGGTGGCATCGGCGCCGGCGATAGGATGTTTCCGCCGCAGACGGGTTTGAGTTACTCCACGTGGATATGCGTGGATAAATTCTCCGATCCCAGATCGGATCCGCATTGCGTACGCCTGCTGACGCTCGTCAGGAACTTCAACGGCGCTCGCGAGGACCATTTGGTGTGCTTGTCGATCGTGTTATCGGCTAGAGACAAGGCTATTATCGTGTCGACACAAGAAACCCACATACCCCACCGTAAGTGATTTTTATAACCTATGAATTTCGTGAAATAATAGCGCGTGTTGTAGACAGTGTTGTTAAGTATTTAAATACCTACATGTATTTAAAAAAGTATTTGAAATACTTTAAAAGTAATTGAACAAGTAATTAAATATATTCAACTTTTCTGTAATTGAAATGTATTTGAAATACATTTTTGTACAAATTCCAAATGCAATATTTAAAATACATTCTAATTACATGAAAGGTAACCATGAGTAGGTAATGTTTAATTTTTTTGGTCTATTTTATTCAAATATAATTCTAGTAAGGAGATTTAAATTAACAAAATGAGATAATAATGTAATTTGAATTTCGTATCTGCTTACAATAGGTACTGCTTGGGTGGGGCAATTATAATAAATTTAAGAGAATTTTTTCAAGTAATACTAATACTCTTACCTGATTACCTAAATTAAATTTATTTGCATATAACTGCGAGCAGTAAAATTGGAGGAACCAAATTCACCTGTTATTTTAAACGTTTTTTCCATACCTGTATTTATTAACTATTTAAAAGTATTTAAATACTTTACAAAAGTATTTGATTTAGTAATTAAATACTTTTTATTTACCAATATTTAAGATATTATTTAAATACATTTCTACATAAGTATTTGTATTTAAATACTTTTTGGATAGTATTTTTAACAACCCTGGTTGCAGATGTTGGTGATTGGGAGCCAGAAGGTCAGGGCGAGCACGGGGTGCGCGTTTGGTGCCCGGATATCCTCCAGGAAGGCCAATGGCACCACCTCGTGGTGGTTTTAAATCGAGCGGTGTTGAAAAATTCCACGTTTTCTCTCTATTTGGACGGGCAACAGATCCACAGCCAAAAGATGCACTACATCTCGCAGAACCCCGGCGGCGGGTCGGCCAATTTGACCGTGGCCTCGTCCGTGTACGGTTACATCGGAACCCCTCCGGCTTGGAGGAGATACTCGAGGTTGTGCTGGAAACAAGGCCCTTGTCATCTGTTCGAGGAGGTCTTGCCGCCGAACACCGTTACGCACATGTACCAATTGGGACCCCATTACATGGGTTCGTTTTTGGCGCCGCATTTGAGCCACCCCGATGTGGGGCCTCTGGTCACGGAGGAGAAGGTCGTCTTCGGTTTGAACGCCAAGGCCGTGTCTCAGCTCACTTTGAATAAAATCCGGAAGGTTTATAGCAGAGCCGATAACAAGTCGATAGGTAAATACATAATTACATAGTTAAGTACAGGGTGTCCCAATGAAAAGTAGGTCCTTTAATGAGCTAATAGTTTTTAAACGGCTAATTAAAGGGGCCTCATTAATTACCTCATTAAAGGGGCTACTTTTCATTAGGACACCCTGGATATAAAACAATCATGTTTATTGGATAGTTTCGTACAACAACAGTTCGAGTCCCCTAAGTTTATGGCGAAATAAATTTATTAAACTGTTTTTGTAGCCAAACAACTGGGTATGTCGAGCCACGAGAGCGCCACACCAATCAGGATTCTGCACAATTCGGCAGGACATTTGGCTGGATCTGCTCGTACCTTGGGTGGAGTTATAATCGGATATTTGGGAGTCCGTGTGTTTTGCGCCCGACCGGTAGCTATGACGATCGATGCAGTAGGAGGATGCTCAGTTCTTTTGGGTAAAACATTCGAATTAATTGAAAAAATTGTGTATTAATTGCGAATAAAATTGTTCAACAGGTCTTATAGCCATGGCGCAGGACGTGGAGAGCCTCTACGCGGGCGTTAAAGCTTTAGTATGCGTGGTTAGAAGTAACAAAGTGGCCCAAGCGGAAATGGATAGGAAAAGGGGATACCAAACGTTAGCTATGTTGCTCAGAAGGAAAAGAACGTTATTAAATTCCCACATTCTACACCTCGCGTTCAGCTTAGTGGGAACAGTAGATAGCGGTAGAGAATCATCCGCTATTCCAAACAAAACGGCCTTTCAGGTATTCCACCAATCAATTAATATTCACTGAAACCTATCATAAATAATATTGCAGGATTTATTGTGCGACTTGGAAGTATGGCACGAAGCGCCAGGAGAGCTCCTCCGTTCGCACTTGGAACACCTCTACGAACTGGCTGCGGAATCCAACGAGAAAAGAAACAACATATGGATAATGCGCGAATTGCATTTAGTGGACAAGCTCATTCACATTTGCCCCGACGTCAAACATCCGGCTACCAGGCAAGTCCTCTTCTCGCTGCTGAGCGTCCTGCTGAACAGCCAACCGCGCCAGCACGATTTGCTGCTCTTCGGACAGTTCGTCACATCTACTTTACCTTCGAGCATCGAAGAATCGGAGAAGAACCTCGAACTGAGAGAAGGCGACGCCGAACGGGAAGGGGAAGGCGAGCACGTGCTGCTCAGGAACCGGTGCTTGGGACTGTTGCATTCCATGATATTTACCAGCAGGAATCACATCGGCGAGGAGATCGTGAAAACGCTCGGGTTCGATTGGATATTGCTGTTTATGCAGCAGAATTTGCATTACAGTACTGTCGTTTGGGCGATAAGGATGCTGGTGGCCATTTGCTCCAGTCCTTCGCTTCTAAGCCGGTAAGTCCAACTAACTAATACCTGAGCAAGTAGATAGCTATACCTGAGATACTTCTTCAGTGCCCACCCTGTGGAGAATGTAGTCCTTTTTGGAACAACCATTTTGAATATGTCCGTTTGTTTTAGTTTCCGGGAGGGAAGCAGCAACGGCGGTTGGCTGCGGCACACGGAGCAAGTCAGCCACAACAAAATGGCGGTGGTGTTGGGCTACCAGCAGAACAACGTGCACGGCGGCGACATCAAGGCGGAGGCGCTGCAGATACCCGGTTTCAAATTCTTGGGCTGGTTGTTGCCGTACCATTTGGAAATATCGGAGATATACTTCCTGCTGACGGCGCTGATGATGGGCCAGCCCGCCAAACTGCTGCCGGCCGATATGAAGTTCGATCTGGACTCGGTGTGGGCGTTCCTGTGGGGCGGTTCTATCAACAATCAGTCGATCAACAGCGTGATGCCTAAAATCAATTTGTGCTCCGAAGCGGTGGTGGTGCTGTTGGCGATGACGAAGGCCATCGTGCACTCCGATAAGGCAGCTTTGCCGCAATGGTTGCAGAATCATCCCATATCTATTGTACAAGTAAATAATTATTTAAACATCCATCTAAAGAGATGCACTACATCGTTAATTTTTAGGTACTGTTCCAATTGTACCACAACATGCCTGAATTCATGCCGATTTTCATGTCATCGGAAGTACTAAGCGCTCTTGCAGACGTTATTTTTATACCGCTGGTGATTAGCAGCAGTATCGAGAGTAGCGGAGCCTCTACACCGGCAGGTAATGTTTCAAAACGCCAGCATTTGAAAGAAATCGAATGTAAATTGTTCGTTCTTAAGGCGAGGACAGCGATCCGCTCATCATGATGTCTTCCACTACGGAAGAACAAACTTTAGTCAACCACCACGTGAGGCAATTCATCGTCGACTTCATTCGAGTGATAGTCGTAGACTCGCTGAGCCTACCGATCACCGGTAAAAATTCCCCCGTAATAGACTTGGTTTTGGACGCCTATCCGGAACAATCGAGCGTCAATCAACAGATATGCTTCCAAACAGAGGTAATAAACGCTTTCCACAATCTTCCTTGTATAATTACGTTTTAATTTACCACAGATCCTGGTCACTCTAATGGACCATCTGCTAGCAGCCGATATGCTAGTAGGCGATCAAGCAGCCATACCGATCGTGCCATTGCCCAGCGCCCACATTCAATACGTCGCCCCTAACGTGTTCTACCTAACGGCTCGAATAGTGGACAAACTATGGCAGGGCTGCCTGACGAAGGATCCACACGAAGTGTTCGATTTCATCGTAAAATTGATCGGACAAGCCAAACGACGAACGGGCAACATCAGCTTGGAAAGCCTGTACCATTGCTTGAACAGAACGATTCTGTTTCTTTTGAGTCGACCCACGGACAGCATAGCCGATCAAATGTCCGTGCTGGAAGCCCTACATAAATTAACGACGAACAGGTGCGTTCTAATCGAGTAAAAGCGTTTAAACATCGCGCGTTAATCGATCGGATTTGCAGATTGATAATATTCGGAGCCGGCAACCACGAATTGGACTTCATCGGCTGCCTGACCTACTGTCTGCTGCAGCTGACGGCCGACATGAAGATCATGCTGGACTCGAACATGAAGACGACGTGGCACGTGAACCCGAGCAGCGATCTGGAGTCGAGAGACGAGCAACTGAACTCGCACCAGGGCCGGAATCTCATGGCCGGCGCCGCGCTGAGGGTGTGGGAGGAGTTGTACGTGTGCAAGAAACCGGCCATCGAGGAGGTCTTCAAGGTGACGTTTGCGCAACCCCATCAGAATTCCAAGGCGCCTGATCTCTTACTAGTAAGGTACGTAGCCACGTTGTAACCCTCCTCGTCTCTCGGGTTCTTAAAATACGTGTTGTAGGGACCAAGTGTTCGATGCTTCTTCGAAGTTGTGGTTGAATTACGTCGAAGGCGAGCGAAAGGCCGCGTACAAAGTACCGTTTGAGCTTCACAATCAAATCCAGTCGAAGATTCATAAAGTAACGGGCGGTTTGACGAGATTGGCGAGCAGAACTAAAGTTAAGAAAGACGAAACTATCAAGGTGGCCGTACGGATGGGCAAGAAACAGGCCATCCAATGGATTTTCACGCATATTAATCTACTAAAGTAATTAAGTTTTAATACGCATAATGTTATGATGCTAATATTTGTAAATTGTAGGAGTTTAATGGAGATGAGGCGACAACAACACCAAAACACATCGCAGCACACTCAACGGTACGTGCACCAGGAGTGGCTGCAAACCGAAAACGATCTCACTAGAGAAAGAGGCCTGTGGGGCCCGCCCGAGCCTAGTTACCTCGACAAATGGATGCTGGATATGACCGAAGGTCCTCACAGGATGAGAAAAAAGACAATGAAAAACGATCTATTCTACCTGCATTACTCGTACAGAATAGAACAAGAGAAGGGTTTGCTGAAATACAAGGTAAACGTCCATCTATTCGTTTTAACTAAAAATTTCGATTAAATTTCATATTTTAGGTGGCTACGAGTTACCACAGCAAAGATTATTTCTACGCGATCCAATTGAGGAATAACTTGGGCGTGAGCAATTTGATGGAACTGGAACGATCGGAGAGTATCGTAGAAGAGCCGTCTCCGCAACCATTCGCTCCGGCCATATCGCATTTGGCTCGGCTCAGATCAGACCCGGAGGATCAACAAGAGGAAACCGAAGGCGAGGACGAGCATTCGCTTCAGCCCGACAATCAAACTCTAATGAGACTATTGGAGGCCAACGAGAAGGTAAATCAAATTTTACACAATATGTTATACATTTCCTTAAAAACGAATCGCCCTGTACTATATTTCAATTTAAATTCACATAAATATTCATTTAAAAAACACCCTGTACATCAAAATAAATGTCAACGTATTCCATAGTAACGGAAATGACAACTTTGACAGTTCGAAGTTTGTTCATCGCCGCTGTCATTAGTGTAGGTTTTTTTAAAAATAATTTAATCATTTCTTCGTTTTTGGTACGTACAAATGACTAAGAAATATATATTTTTGGAAATTATTGCAATTTCTTTTATTCTCGTCCATTAAAAGCCACGGAAAAGCCGAAAAAGTCTCATTTCGGTGTAGTTCCGTTTAGACCAAACGAACAGGCAACGTCCATCAAATAAATTATCTATAAATCTGTCAAAAATGTTACTTTTAAATTAGATTCACGGCAAAAAACGAATTTAGCTGGCGAAAAGAGGTCGATTTTCGTAATCAGCGATTTTTTTACGTCCCCCTATGTACCTCTGTATGCCCCATAAAAGCATTTTTGTTGCTGTTCTGTCTTAATATACTTTATGGGATATCTTGTCTAATCTATTCTTTTTAGATTACCTATATGTTCCGTTGCGCCAGAATCCAAGGATTAGACACTACGGAGGGCCTTCTGCTATTCGGCCAAGAGCATTGCTACGTAGTCGACGGATTTACGTTGCTGAAGAACCGCGAAATACGAGACATCGATTGCGTGCCGCCGAACGCCAACGAATACGAGCCGATCGTGCCCAATCCCGGATCGCCCAGGCGATCCAGGGCGATGAGGCAATGCTCGAAATTCTCCTACGACGATATCAGGTAAAAAATTATTTCGCATATAAATTAATCGGTATTATCTAACAACTGTTCGAAAGGGAGGTGCACAAGAGACGGTACTTGCTACAACCCATGGCGCTGGAGGTGTTCTCCGGCGACGGGCGAAATTACCTGCTGGCCTTTCCGAGGAAAAGCCGAAATAAGGTCTACCAACGTTTCATGTCGACGGCTACGAGCATAGCCGATTGCGCCCAACAGTCCGTGGCCGGACAAAAACGCACGGCCAACGTCGAACAAACCGCCGGTTTGCTCAGCAATCTCATCGGCGAAACCAGCGTGACGCAAAGATGGGTGGTAAGTAGCCATTTCGTTCCACGGAACTTTTTATTTGCGATGAAAAAAGTCTTGTTTACATATCGTGATATATGGGTAAGTGTACACCCTGAATTCTCGTTCCTGTTCTAGTACACCGCTCCGTTTATATCGATAGTAAAGGAACGAGAATTCAGGATGGGCGTTAGGTCCGCCGACCATTGTACTTAATTGTATTTTTTATTTAAATCAAGTGTCAATGTCATTTGTCTTTTGTAATATGTGTTCTATGATTAATTTTGCTAGCAGGCAATGGAATGTGTTTTATGCACTTTTTGAAGTGTCAAATGAAGAGGAGTACGACTTTTTTTTAATTTTTTTTATAAAACTACTTATTCTTATGAAGTCATTGGTGATATTTTTAATTTTCTCTGTTTCCTATTAAGGCCACAATTAATTTTTAAAGTTTGAAATACGTCACAAGTCATTAACCAATCACATTAAGAATTGGTGGTAAAGATCGTTTTTTTAGCGAATTTGTCAACTATCTTACTCTGAAAAAAAGGCGTTTGTTTGTATGTCAATACTATAATTTATTTTTTATATTTCTTGATACAGTTATGATTTATTCGAAAAATATATAGCGAACTTATAATTGTTAAATAATATAATATGCCTATATTTATGAATTACTGTAAATATCTAAAATGCTAAATTATTGTTTAGTAAAAATGGTAATGTGGCATCATCAAATGTATACTTTTGACTTTTTAATATCTATTTTTTATATCTTTTCATATACTTGGCTAAAAGCCGTATATATCACATCGTACTCCTCTCCATTGGTTCTTGATTAATTACTTGTGATTTGTTCAAATTACAATGGAAACTTTTTGTATTTTAGAGAGGAGAAATATCGAATTTCCAATACTTAATGTACCTGAACACGTTGGCTGGAAGATCATACAACGATCTAATGCAATATCCAGTTTTCCCTTGGATTTTGGCCGATTACGATTCCGAAGAGTTGGATTTCACCGATCCCAGCACGTTCAGAGACTTTACGAAGCCCATGGGAGCCCAGAGCCCCGAAAGACTCGAACAATTCAAAAAACGATTCAAAGTAAGTTGATAATTTCTCACTTATGCCTAACACCGATAGAGGTCCTTCTAAACCTGTACTTACATAATTAGGAATGGGACGATCCTCACGGCGAAACGCCGCCCTATCACTACGGCACGCATTACTCGAGCGCCATGATAGTGTGCTCCTATTTGGTGAGATTGGAGCCGTTCACGCAGCATTTCCTGCGCCTGCAAGGCGGCCATTTCGATTTGGCCGATCGAATGTTCCATTCGGTCAAGGAGGCCTGGCTGTCGGCCTCCAAGCACAACATGGCCGACGTGAAGGAGTTGATACCCGAGTTCTTCTACCTCGACGAGTTTCTAATCAATTCCAATCAGTTCGATTTGGGTGAGAATCCGAGATGAGACCAGAATGAATGTTTTTTTAATATGATTTCAATTTGAAGGTGTAAAACAAAATGGCGTGAGTTTGGGCAACGTGGTGCTTCCCGCGTGGGCTAAGCAGGATAGCAGGGAATTCATCAGAGTTCACAGACAGGCGTTGGAATGCGATTACGTGTCTTCGAATCTCCACCATTGGATCGATTTGATTTTCGGCTGCAAGCAACAAGGCCTGCCCGCCGTCGATTCGACGAACGTTTTCCACCATCTGTTTTACGAAGGAAACGTGGACATCGACAAGTAAATTCCCGATTCGTTGTTTCCGAACCGCGAGAATTACCTATTTCGTCGTTGCAGCATCGACGATCCTTTGAAGAGGAACGCCACCATCGGTTTCATCAACAACTTCGGGCAAATTCCCAAGCAGCTGTTCAAAAAACCGCATCCCTGCAAGAAGATGTTCGGCGCCAATAACAGGACGTCGGTGATCGACACCGGCAGCCTCGTGCAGGCCTTCTCCCTTCCGCAACCCGAAAAATTGTTTTTCCACCACCTGGACAACTTGAAACCGTCTCTTCAACCCATCAAAGGCACGTTAATTCGAACTAGAATAAATCAAACTTTGCATACACCGCTAGTTTATTCGAAAACTCGTTCCGTCGTCAAGTGTTTGCAATAAAAAAACTATCAATAATCTTATTTCGCAGAAGTGAAAAGTCCGGTGGGTCAGATCCTGCACGTGGATCGCTCCGTGTTGGCCGTCGAACAGAACAAGGTCCTGATGCCGCCGAGCTACAACAAATACGTCGCTTGGGGATTCGCCGATCATTCGCTGCGAATCGGCAACTACGAGAGCGACAAGGCCGTCTTCGTCTCGGAGAGCGTCATCCAGAACAACGGGGAGATCTTGGCGTGCGTCTGCCCCTCGCCCAAATTGATTATCACGGCCGGCACGAGCTCGGTAAGCTTAGAAAATTCCAGGGGCCTGTTTCATATAACTGACAAGTTGACGAGTTACACCTTCATTTTTCGATATTGGGAAACTTTTACTTTGAAATTGTTTTTTTTTCTGGTTGGATCTGTTTTTAGATGTGAACCACGACAATTTCGTTTAATGACAAAAAAACTTGTTTCTAAAATGCAGTAATATTTATTTAATTATCGTGGAAGATACAAATATCAAAGTATAAATATACTAATATCGAAAAATTCAGATGGTAGATACCTACTAGAGTTATGGGTATACTAGTTCAACTTAATTATACATTTTTTTATTAAACCAGAACGAATTTAAGGAAATTTAATGTCCATTTCGACTTATTTTTTGACGATCTTTTCAAATATGTCATTATTTTTTATGAACGTCATTTGGTAAAAAAGTTAGCTTGCTTTTGACACTTTTATACAGGAATCCCTATGTTGCATTTTATAAATAACACAGTGTATGATAGGAGTAAATGACAAGTTTTAATTAATTTATTTTTTATAAAAAGCAAACGCATCTACAATTGTAAAACACACTTGTAATATTAGGCTACTCACTTGTCACTAATAATCTACTCGTGTAATTTTACGAAGCACAAACTTGTCAAATACTCCAGTCAAATCTAGAATACACTTGTCCGACAGGACTTGTCAGTTTTATGAAACAGATGCCCTAGTTAACTCGAATACTAGAGTTTGTTGGTTGTTCCAGGTGGTGACCGTGTGGGAATACGAGGTACGCAAGAAATCCCTTTCGATAAAACACAGCTTGTACGGTCACACGGACGCCATAACTTGCTTGGCCGCCAGCCCGGCATATAACGTCATCGTATCCGGATCCAGAGATTCCACGGCTATCATTTGGGATTTATCCAGGGGCGTATTCGTGCGGCAGTTGAGAGGTCACGCCGGTCCTGTAGCTGCGGTGGCCGTCAACGATTTAACCGGAGATATAGCCACTTGCGCCGCTACTTGGTAACTAATCCACGATAAAATCTAGTAGATCTACGTTTAATTCGTGTAAAATTAGGTTGCAAGTGTGGAGCATCAACGGAGACGAATTGGCCAGCGTGAATACGTGCGTAGGATCGGCCGATAGGATGCAACAAATTCTGTGCGTGGCTTTCTCTCAAACGCACGAATGGGATTGCCAGAACGTCATTATGACTGGATCTACCGACGGCGTTACGAGGGTAAATTTACTCGCTTTATTATCGTTAAAACGTAGTAATAAATCTCGCATTGTAGATGTGGTCGATCGATTACGTTCAAGTACCGGACGAGCAGAGTACAAACGTCAAACCGGAGCCGCCGAAGTCTCCTAAAACCGCCAAAACGAACGAACAAGTGGATAAACCGACACCGAAGCACCACCAATTGGTCAAACAAATCAACGTGTCGAGCATAGGCAGTGCGGGCGGTCTGATGAAATCCGGTTCGGAGAGCAGCCTGTCCGAGGAGACGGCCCGACGGGGCTCCGTCGATCGGCAAACGAGCGGCGAGAGCAGCTCGAAGGAATGGCGGAACGAGCAACAGAACGAAAAGGAGACGTGCAGCGACGTCGAGGAATCGAATCCGCCGGCGGTGCCGGTGCGAAAGAGGAAATCCCGCGGGCATTGCGGTTTCATACGCAAAAGCGAAGGTGAACGGTTAAATTGTAGCTCTGCAGGGTGTTCCATAATGGCATGATAATATTTAAGGGGGTGATTTTTGGACCAATTTTAAGAAAAAAACTTTATAAAAACCATATTCCATCTCGTTAGGAAATGACGTCATTTTTAGTAATTTCCACGCGGTTCAACATTTCCCTAGTGCCAATGTTATTTCTCCCGTTGGTTCATATGAATTTTTTTCCTTAGAATAGGTCCAGGAATCACCCCCTTAAATATTAGCATGTCATTTTGGAACACCCTGTATAAGCGAACTTTGTTTAATTGTTTTGTGTTAATTAGGTGGCAGTAGCGCCGATAATGCCAGTTTGGATGTAGACGATGGGTCGGGTCTGCGCACCAGCAAATCTGATACCAGCTTGACGGATTCGTTCGTGATGCTTCCGGATACCAAGAAGAAATCACCCAATCCTATGAATACTCTAAGACCAGGTGATTGTTCTCAAAAAGACCCGTTTTCTATCGTATTTTACGGCGTTTTTTTTTCAGGATTCAAGTGGCAAAGACAGTTAGTCTTTAGAAGTAAATTAACGATGCATACGGCGTACGATCGTAAGGATAACGCCGAGCCTGCGTCTGTCACCGCTCTAGCAGTCTCGAAGTAAGATCACTTTTGCCTTATCACTAATGCCCGGTTGCACCAATTTATCATAGGTTATATTTTATCTAAGTCCGACTTAAATGTGTGATCTACTTAAGATTGGAATATGTTGCAACATGTTTAAGAAAGGCTATTTTACCTACGATCCATTTTAACATAGATAACAACTAGCAACATAGCAATATTGTTGAAAAACTTGAAAAGAAGGAGATGATTGTCATTTTAAGTGTTAAAATAACCTATTAGTTGTTGGGGACAGTATAAATGATCAAAAGAAGAAGTTGTGGTTTTACCGCATCCTGTCACCTAGAAATTAGTACATTCATAATTAAATTTTGGTTAAATTTAAATAATTGTAGGGATGTTCTTTTTTGCAGACGAAACCTTTTAAAAAATTCTAGCTCCGGGAATGTTTCAAAATAATTAGTTCTTATTCGAATTTGTCGTTGCATAGGAACATCTACCACATTAATTTCTTTCTCTACATCATCTATTCTATCTACATTAACCACAATATTTATATCTGCATTTATATCCATAATTTTACAACTTCTCGCGACAATTCTCAAATTTTTGAGGTTAACATTTTCGTCTTAAGTCGTAGAAATCGACAACCTAGGATCTGTGATCGATTCGTATCACAGGAAAGAGATTTTTAGTTGATGCAACAGTATAAAATTAATTTTAGACTTAGGTTTGACTTAGGATAGGAATTCATCCTAGGATGCTTTGGTGCAACTGGGCATAAGACAGTTAAAAAAAAACAAGATCTCGCTCACTGCGCGAGCTCGACTCTGCCCCATACAACCTCAACTCGAAGGCCTCACGGCCTTCTACGCTAAGCCAGTAATATAGCCGGATAAATAAATCGCCCTGTATGACTATAATTCAACTAAAAATAAAATTGATGTCACTTCGCAGGGAGCACAGGAGCGTGTACGTGGGCGACACGCGAGGTCGCGTGTTCTCGTGGAGCGTGTGCGACGTGCCCGGCAGGGCGGCCGATCACTGGCTGAAGGACGAGGGGGCCGATTACTGCGCGGCGTGCAGCATCAAATTCACGATCTACGAGCGGAAGCACCATTGCAGGAACTGCGGCCAGGTGTTCTGCTCGAAGTGCAGCCGATTCGAGTGCGAGATATCCCGATTGAGGATCCTGAAGCCGGTGAGAGTGTGCCAGGCGTGCTACGCCGCTTTGAAAACTGACAAGTCCTAAGCACGATGAAGATGTGTGCACGGGCGTTTAGGGTTATTTAGTTGAATACCGATCGATCCCCCGACTATCCGTTTTGAGTACATAAGTAATGTCCGCGTTAATCTGGCGAAGGCGTCGCTTTTATTATTGACAACCGTTTCAATCGAAATGAGAATTATTTTATCTTTGATGTTGGGAAAATGGTTACAACGCGGCAACGTTGCTATACGCTGTGACGTCGTCGCCAGGTTAGCTTGATCGTACTATACCTTAAATTATTGGAAATTCTAGATGAAGATCGAATTGTAATCAAGTGTCAAATTGTCATTTGTTTTTGATGTACGACAAAAAAATACCTCATGACAAAAAGACATGTAGTCATAGTTTTAGTCACTATTTTCGTACGTTTCTGACATACCAATCACTTTGTCGGTCAGTGCGGCAAAGATTAATTGTTGAAAATTTATCTGCAGACATTTAACAATCATATTGTTTCTTGCACTTTAAGAGGGGCTCTCTTATACAGGGTGTTCTCGAACTTATGAAATGAAATCTGCGAATCGGTCTCAAATTATGCAAACTACCACCCCTAGAATTTAGTGCCATAAGTTCGAGAACACCCTGTATTAAGTTCGACTATTAATCTGGCGTATCTTTAAACTTGCGAGGTAAATAAGAATTAAATATTATCTTACTTTCTATGTAACATTAAATGAGTAAGATTGGTTTCTCACATTCCATATAACTGATGCAAGTTTGGGATTTGCGCTGATCTAATTCGAAGGATTGTATGCCAAGGTGATATATCTACTGCGACAAATGACAAGTAGTTTTATAGAAAAGTTTAATGTTTATAAAGACATTTTTTTTTCTTTCGGATAGTCATATATATTTTCCCTCCAACTTTGTATTCGTATTTAGTTTAGTGAAGTGGCGTGAAAAGAAATACCTGAAATTTGAAGCATCTAATTCGATGTATTAAATTAAAATTATAATACCAAAAATCTTAGTAAAATATTCACTATTTTTAAAAATATATACTTATAAAAGCATTGCTGGAAAATGAACATTTATTGTCATTGTTTAACAATGCCTTGCATCGCTAATTGTATTTTTCTTAGTATCGTTTTCAATTTTATTAATTTATTATTATATACACGTGAATTTGTTGTTTGTGACCACATTTTTTTATTGTTGATTTTTTAAATATTTTGTTAATTATCTACTACTTATATACGTAAATAACTATTCTTATGTACATATTTTAATTTTTTTAATAATTCTCTACTTTTATTACTTTTATTTTGTTAAATAATTTTTATTAGACTTTTTATAGTTTTATTAATTTAGAATTTAGTGGAATACTTAGTGTTCATTTTATCAAGTCGACTGTTAATCAATTCGCTCTGTTTCGAATGGAAATAAGTAAAATGGTGCCATAAATCATATACTTAATTAACCGATTGGCGAACAGTCGACTGTTGGTTTTAACTTTGCGAAAGTATTATTTCATACAGAGCAATATACTTACTAGAACAATATTTGTTGCCTGAAAATTTGTTCGTAAAACAATGTAGGAAAGCTTGTGCAGGTGTAAAATAATCGACAAACGAACAGCACTGAAGACAATTCGTTACTTTTACCTCGTAGTATTTATACGTTGGGTTAACGATGATGATGTAATACAAAATATTCATTACATTTATGTCATCTTTAGCTTACAGTAAAATACTTACTGATTTTTATACAGATCAACTTTTGGTGTTTTTCACTTTTTAAGAGATTGTTACCGACACCGGTTCGAATTGTTCTAAATTAAACTGGGTGTTAAACCACTAAAGTTCAGAACCAGTTCAATAGCCTTATTGGAACGAACCTAACATCAAAATTTAACATTTGACTCAGTATTTTTTTAAACAGTATTGCTTTGGTCATGACGAACTTGTAGCATAAATTATTTCTTATGACATACTCCACTCTCTCCTATAATTATTGGTGTGGAAGTTTCTTGTTAAGTGAATTAATATCGTACTGCTTTTGTCGCTTTTCTTCGAGCAGAAACTGTTATTGTTTCTGAAAGATTTGCTTACAGTGATTGCGTTTGTCGTTTTCTGTTGAAAAACATGATATTATTTTTGTATCCAATTGTGGTTTGACTGTTACGAGAATTTAGGAAGACGTGCACAAGTATCTGTAGACAATATACATGTGCATTATTGTGCATTCCAAGATATATTTCTGTATATTTGATAAATATATGTGATATTGTAGAGTCGATAGGGTCAGATTTAGTATAAACGATTTGTCCCAAATTATATGAATAAAGGTTATCAATCCCTCAAAACATTGTTTTACAATACCTCTAAGAGTAGTGTAGGAAAATAATATACCTGTTAAGTAAAAATAATTTTAATTTTTTAACCACAATTCAGAGTGTGATAAAGTAACTATGATAAATATAGCATCTATTACACACAATAGTAAATAATTTCAAAATAATTAGTTAAATATATCACAATGCACAAGAAGCACAACAAGGGGCATATTCTGAAATTCACTGATAAATCTTCTGAATCCTTACTCTATTAGATATCTAGTGACTCGATTATTGTTAACTAAAGCTTTCGATATCGTCAGTATGTAAGTTACTACGAAACTAACCCTCGATATTAGTTTTATCAACGACTAAACACTACGTTACTTGAGTGAATAACAAAGCTATTAAACTTAACACTAGATTACAAAAAAAAAACACGTAAAAATAATCATAGAAAATCAGTCAAGGAACAACAATCTTTTTGAATTTTGTCAACCAGACGACTATATGTGTCAACAATAAAATGTATACAACACCCTATTTGATTAGGGTTAATGAATATAGAGAAAATATTTTTTTGGATAAATAGTTTAAATACGATACACACGCAACTACTATCTGTCTAATATCATTTTGAATTTTGATAAAAAAACACAGCCTATTTAATCAAATCACAGGACTCAAACTAGAGGAAATAGCAGCCAATTTTAAATTTGTTAGTTTTTTCCAACAAATTTAGCAGTTTAAAGTAAAATAATTCAACTACGATACCCCGAAAGGTACTATTGTTCGTAAGTTGATCAATTCATGCTTCTATGAGGCGTTTCCCAAAATCATAGTAATATTACTAGAGTTGACGAGACTATTAAAAAAACTAGAGACCATACGCCCGAACTGCGAGGTTACTTTGAAACCGCACGACAGATAGTAGATATTCACTTTAATTCTAACTTAAAATTAATTCTTAAACATCTAAATAAAACAAACATTGATTCAAGCCCTTCGCTTTATCAGTTACTTCGATTTGAATTTCAAAAAACACCCAACCAAACCGATTGATCGAGAATTAGTTTTCATAAGAGAATAACTCCCATATCGAATTCCTATTAGCTCGTTTCCAAGAGAATAAACGCGTATAGGATAATGCTATGTAGCTGTCGTAGGAATACAATAAAACCACCTCGATTCGGACTAGCTCTCAAGGACCGACTAATAGAAATTGACAATAAGAGCATTCGCGATTAAATGTTGTATCGCAGACCGATAATACCACGCGGCAGCGATCCTCTTACGACTATCGAAGGATATTAAATTTGTTCCTTACGTTTTGAACCGAAACGAGCCGAAAGGCGACTACAACGAGAAGAATTTCAGGAAGGCCGAAGGAGGGACGGGACACGGGGCGCTGGCGCCCCCCGCTTCCTGGATGCGAGCCCTAAACTCAGGACACTGATCGGCGATGCACGGGTGTCCCAACGATCTCCAGAACAGGCACCGGCAGTATCTGCACAACGATAGCATTTCCGCGTATTGCCTCTCTTCGTTTATACCGAAAGTTCTAAAAAATAATATTAATACAAAGTTACTGAATGTGACAGGAAACCAACTCATTTGCCAGGTGAAATGTACTCATCAGTATCCAGTAGTAAAGAAGACTTCTATTGTTGAAGTTTCCTTATGTTTCTTTAATATTTGTTATAACTTACTTCTTGAGAGAATGATAGACCTCCTTCCAATCGATTGTGTGATTATCTTTGGACAAAACTAGCTCGACCTGCTGCTGGTTGAAGTGGAACTTGACCAGCTCCTTCCAAATCCGCTGTTCGCTGACGATGGCGGCCATTTGCTCGCAGGACTCGGCGCTGGCCGTCAGGTCCCGGTGGTCGGACAGCCGCAGGATGATCTCCCTGATGCACTCCTCGGGCAGCTGCAGCAACTTCGGGCGGGTGTCGGGGCTCGGCTCGCAGATCTGCATCTCCGCCGCCATGTTGAGGATCCTCTCGATTTTGGTGGCGTGCTGGTGCCACAGGAACTGCGATCCCAACGGGCCGCCCCAGCAGGCGTCGCGCTCGGCCGATCGCAGCGCCCGCAAGTTGCCCAACAGCCGCCGGAAACCTCTCGGATTGTACTGGCTGGTTGTCGCGTGACTAGCTACCTCCTCCAGCATGGCGAGCAGCGCCTTCTGGGAGCACCCCGACAGGGCGGTCATCTGCTGGCCGATCAGGAGCTCCAGCAGGGCGCATATGTAATTGAACCTGCGGACGTCTCGGACGGCGCTCCTGAAGTCCAGCCTCTTCACGGCCTCGTCTAATTCGTTAAAACCGGCTATCTGCAAGGCGATAATTTCGGCGTGACAAATAACAGTTACATTGTAACATCTCTATACTAGATAATTTGTTCCCATCTCTATACCATACGTCAACAATTCAATTAACGTTGACATTCGTGACAGTATTTGGATATGTCTAGTCGACATAAATTTAGTAGTGTATACTCAACCACAATGCACACTTAAATTCATATTTTTTCGAAAAAAAAATAAACTAAAAAATTAAAAATAAATACTGAATAGTTTCAAAAGCGACTTACTTCTTTTGTACATTTTATTGTAATGTGACAGTGAGGTTGAATGGCAGTGTCCGGATCGTTTTCCTCCTCAGAGCTATCGCCTCTTGAAATTCTGCAACAGAGTAACATATTCTATTAATAAAACAAACTCAGGAAATTAATTTTATCGCGCACAATACGCACAAGGATTACCCGCACCGACGGTGTATCAACGGTTTAATATAAAATTTCCAATAATCCCTCCGGCAGGACATCAATAGTTAAGCAATCAGCCCGTGCAGTTTCCCTAACAACCTCCCCGTTACGTCAATAACCGCGTTCGCATCAATCAGAGCCGTTTTTTGTGCAGGAGTTATTTTTTTGCTGGAGCAATTCCGTTTAGCGCTTCGAAGGAAAGCACCCGGAAAAAAAACCAAAAATGTCCGTGATATTACTAACGCAACACGACGAGAACATCTACGACATATTCAAGGGCCAGGAGACCAAGGGCAAGCAGATCAAATTGAGGTTCAAGACCGCCGAAGATGAGGTGAAAATCGAGTACCCGGAATTGTACGCGGAGAAGAAGAAATACGGCGTGATGGGCGTCGCCGGCTTGGAGATTCCGGACCCGCATAATTTTCTAAAAAAAGGAACAGGTAAATCCACCTACTTGTTTCCGTATTTATCGACAACGCTAATCGAAAGAACCAGTTTAAAACGATAAAACTTATAAGGTGAAAGAATTGGCGAAACCACAATATAGATTATCGAGATAATTGTAGCAGGGCTGCTTAAATACCATCTAGTACAAGACTAGTAAGACTGCCCTTGTTCAAAGCGCGCCCGAAACATTGGGAGATTAAAGTAAAAAATCAGCGATTCTCTTTGTTAGGTAAGCCCTGTTACGTGCAGCCCAGAGGCGAGAAGGAGCCCACGAGGCCCTGCATGCCCAACAGACGGCCCGAGGTGCCCAAAACGAGGGAAGTGGTGAAACTGTACAACCCGCCGAAGAAAGACAAGGACTTCGTCGTGAAGAACATATCGAAGGTGAAGGGCCAGCCCGGAAAGGAGCACGAGCACTACATCGTGCTCGACAAGCACGGCAACAAGGAGTCGGTCAAAGTGCTCGAGCCTGTCTACGTCAAGATGCCTCCGTTCGGCAAAACGCCCCCGTACCTGAAGATGTTCCTCAGGGAGCGGGAGATCGAGTACCAGAAGAAAAGGGAAGCCAAAGTGACCATCCAGCCCATATGCAAGTACGTCACCAGGCACAGGAGGAAGGAGTTGCTCGATGTGAGTACTTACAATGATATCTTAAAGTACTTCGGAGGAATAATTTGTTGTTTATCTTTAGGGTTTGAAGCAGAATTGGGAAGAGCTGCAAAACCAGTACCAAGGCCTGTCCATCTGCACGGACATTCTGCCGAAGATACTGCGAAAAAGGAAGCTGGAGACCCAACTGAAGCAGCTCGAAAAGGACATAGTGCTGATCGAAAGGCACCCTTACATCTACGTGTACGAGGATGAAATCGTGTAGATTGGGTTTTCTTTAGCGTAAATGTCGTTCCGAGGGAGCGGGATGGTTTCGTTGGAGGCGGGAAGAACCAAAATTTATCATAAGGTTAAAAGTACATATGTGATTTTGCGAGAATGATGAGCTGTGACAAATTTTAAAGCGTGGATGCACCGAGATTGGGATCTTCTTCCCATTTACAGAGAAGATGTTGATCGAAATGGGTAGATGAAGTCGCGCTAGCTATTGTACCTATGGAAGTTTAATAAACGCATATTCATTCGATTTTTTTTTATTAGCATAAGGCTTGTTAGCATTACACTCATCTGAAGTAAAGGCGAATTGCTGGTAACAATATAAAACAATGAAAATGAGTTATTAAAACGCTCTTGAAAAATGACAAGGTTGTTTTCACACCACTCGAGATCCGAACAATTGAGACATTTCGGAAACTCTTGCAAATATTTGTATTGTGCATTGAATTTTCAAACCATTTCTAACTACGTAATTTGACGCACAAATTATACATAATTCGTGAGCGAAAGGAAAAATGTTACCATTAAGTTTCATATTCTTCACTTGCTGGCTACTCATTGTAGCAAAAGGATTTATAATTGGAATCGACCAGGAAGCTTGTAATTTAGACGAAAGCGCCGTAGAATTTTACGGAAGGTACGTTTGTATGTAATGTAGGTGTTATCTTCTATTTACAACATTTTTTTCATAAATTAATCATTTTATTTCGTTTAATACGTTACCAGTAGATTTCTCTTTCCACGGCCAACTAAGAACGCAATTATTCTAAAATCGTTTTTAATAGGGGAACATTAGTATCTTGACACTATTTTTCAAGCTATTTTTTTATTACATTTTCACATTTTTATGAAAGTATAATTAAAATTTCGAAATTATCGTGCAAAAAAATTGACACAAGATTTATTACAAGTGTCAATTTTGACATTTAAAAGTGACAAATACTCCACAACCTACTCTGTAAAACACATCTATTGGCGTTTGGACATAAAATTTAATTAGCCTTGGATGTCAAATATTGACAGAATTATAAAAAAAATCAAATTTATCAATAAATTTTCCTCTACTCTCATATACACTACTGTTCGGTAGTTCATTAAACTCCATTGTTTAATACAATAAGTACATTTATATATCAATTACCTACTTTAGAGTAAAATTTTAGGTATTTTTCATTATCCAGAACAGTCAAAATGGCCCAATTTCAAATGAACCAAACCTGCGAATTCCACCAAAACGATTTGATCAACTATTTCGGGAAATTAATCGACAAACCCAGGGCGGTTATGAAGGTTAATTATCTGGAAAATACCATGAAATTGTTCGATCACAAACAGGGAATTTTCTCCAGACATTCGTACTCTTACCTCGTGGTTTTTGTGGCGGACGGACGGGAATTGGGGGAATTTGTTGAAAAACTCGAATGGACGAAGAGAATAACGTATTTGATAATATTCACCACAGCTGATAAGATCAATTGCGATTTGCTGATTGAAGGTAAAATGTACGGATCGACAAGAATAGCTGAAGTCACTTCATAATCTAATTAATCTCATTTAATAATGAACGTGCATCTCGTGACTTTAGCTATTCAAATCGACCTGTAAATAACAAAAAAATATGATTAATTCCATCGAAACGCCTAATGGACAATATTAATCGGAGATAATTAGGATGAAAGATAAACAATGTTCGATATTTTATGTTGCTTACACACTTCCAAGAGCTATAACATTTAATTTGATTTAACAACATTTATGAAGCTATTAATAATTTTATTATAGGATTGTGTTTTACTTTTAATGGCCTATTTGGGTTTTTAATGTGCTTTAATTTTTATGTCCACCCTATCATATAAAATATTGATGGATTTGATGGTTAAGTAGTGTATTTTCCCAAATATTCGGAATTTATTTTCTTATTGTTCAATGAGTTTTATTATTGAATCCGTTTCCTAGAAAGAAAACATTCTTGTCCCAAACAGTAAATCCAGGTAAAAACACTTAAACAAAATCTTCTTTACAAGGGAACCTTTCAGTTGTAGAAGAAAAGAAAGATTAAATTTACATAAAATTATCCAGCAAAAAGGGGTAGGTAATAACAATAATTACCTGCTTACTCACTGCACTAGGGTCAAATTCCCTCATATAATACCACTGAAATGTTGCCCAGAGTTGGACTTCAATTATATACAGGGTGTTTCTGAAATAAGTGGTCAAACTTAGGGAGCAAGCAGAGAATCTCAAATAAAATGACATTTAAGTTTTTGTCATATTTCGAGGTTCTCTACTTGCTCCCAAAGTTTGACCATTTTTTTCAGAAACACCCTGTATATTTTCAGGAATAAAATCGAGCCTAAGAACCCTATCAAAAGAGCACCACATATTCAGGCTACTAGCGCACGCCCCGTGCCTCTGCCACCCGCATCTCCTCTACCGTTACCAACCCTTCGCCATCACCTCGCCGAACAACTTCGGCTCCATCGAAGAGCTCCCGTTCAACGACACCTTCCACCTGATCGGCCAGGCCCCCGGCCAACTCCTCGGACCCGTAAAAACCTTCAACCGGTGGCCCTTGAAGACCTCCGTCTTCCAGCGGCACATCGACAAGATCGACTTGAACAAGGTGTTCCGCGACGTCCCGTCCACGTGGAGGCACGGCTGCCTGAACCAATGCGACGTCAACGCCCACATTTGGATCAACCTGGCCCGGTACCTCAACTTCACCATAGCCACCGACGACGATCCGGAGGCCTATTACGGCACCTTCAACGACAACGGCCAGGTGACCGGCGTGCTGGGCAAGCTGGTGCGCCAGGAGATCGACTTCGCCGGCAACTCGAGGTTCGTCGATACGAGGAAGGGCATCGAGTACACGGTGGCGATTTACACGGAAGAGATGTGCATCGTGGTGCCCAAGTCGCCCATGAAGCCGTCGTGGCTGGAGATATTCGGGTGCTTCGATACCAAGGTTTGGTTGTTGATTCTCGTCATCGAGATCATCAGTTTGGGGTTCTGGTACAAGTTCCAAGAGTGCGGTTACTCTTGGATGGTCGCTTTCGCCATATCCATTACGGTGGCGGCTCCCTTGCCGAAGACGTGGAGATTCAAGTACCTTCTGGTCGTTTTTATGCTGTACAGTGTGATTATTTCGACGATATTCGAGGGTAATTTGGTGAAATCGTTCGGGACGGTGCAGTATTACCCGGATATGACTCTCGATGATTTCATTAACAGCGATATGAAAATCCACACTTCTTACATCCACATCTTCGACGACTCAGGTATCCTATACATTCATTTGCCATTGGAATTACTAAAGGGTGTCCCAGGACGAGTTAAAACTATCTGTATATAGGAAACTACTTATCCGATTTAAATAATATTTGGTAAACATATGTTATTAGAAATGCAAGACATAACATATGTTAAGACGAACCTCTTAAGAATATGTTGACAGTCGTACCACTTCCGGATTTACCGGAAGTAGGTATCAACTTTGTTATTTCTAATGGAACACCCTGTATATTAATATATTTTCGAAATTTACGTAACATTTTAGGATACTTTTGTCTGAAACACTTTTTTCAAAAATGCATACTTTTTGAGTTATTAATTTTTTTATGAAAAATTTGACCGATGCGGACCCTTATAAATTATTTTTTACGAGGATCTCCTCGTATGATATGGAAACGGTTTCTGTATGGTGGCTACTAGAAAGGTTAAAGGTATTTGAATCTGTGTTAAATATTTTTTTTATTTTATACAGGGTGTGTACAAAAAATGTGAAAAGTTAAACTTCAAAAATTTCAAATTTCTTCATTTTTTTAAATGGAATCACCATTTTTTCTATTTTGATGAAATCAGCGGTTGAAAATAAGGTAAGTTTATGTTTACTTCCCTATACCTAAACCTAATAGTTTTGAAGATATTAAAAATTTTACGTAAAACTTACTTTTCTGCCTTATTCCTCACCTTATTCTTAAATAACTCGGTTTTATAAGTTGGCCATGTAAATTCTTCTTGATTAATTGATTATGAATTTTGGTACTTATACGATATTACGACCATCAAAGTATTTTAAGAGGTTCCTCTTATTGCGTACCCTATGTATACCAAATTTTAATTAAATTAATCGGATAAGTAGTTTCCCATATACAGATAGTTTTACCTCGTTGTGGGACACCCTGTATACATCCTTGCAGGTATGGAGAAATACGAGAAGCTGAAGGCCAAGATAGTGGACAGTACTGGTAGCAAAGTATCGAGCGTCCATATGATCGAAAAAGACAACAGACGAGCCGCTTTGATAAGGAAATCCGATGCGAAATTTCCCAAGATTCTGTTCGCGGACGATCCCAAGTTGCACGTCATACCGGAATGCCCCAGGATGTATTTGCTCGCCTTCGCCGTGCAGAAAAACTCCCCGTATCTTTGGGAGATCAATAGGAGTATGGTGAAATTGAGCGAAGGCGGGTTTGTAGATAAATGGAAGAGGGACATGTGGTACCGTGCGTTGTTAAATCACAGTAATGAATCTAGAGAGGATTTTGAAGGGGCGAAGGCGCTGCCTTTGCATGACATTGCCTATGCTTTTTATATACCCCTAGGAGGGAGTTTGGTCGCTTTTGTTGTGTTTGTTTTGGAATATATTATTGCGATATATGGGTAAAGTGCAAGTTTGTTTGCAATATGGTCAATTCTATGAGTTGGTCAAAGAAAGATGATTAAAATAACAGTGTGGTTAAAGTTAGAAAATTGCAATCTAAGAATATTACTCTTGCTTTTTCCTCTTAGGTATAAAAGACTAATGAAAATTGCACTCTACACCTGGACAATATAAAAATTTGCAGTTATTTGTATGTAATAATTTTGAAAGTACAGGGTGATTTATAAATGATATAGTCAATTTTTTATTTAGTCTGAAAAATTGCTTTCATAATTTTAAAACGAATATAACCAACTTTAATTTCAGCTCTCATTGATGTGAAAATTATAGAAAAACTTATCTAGAATACACGTGGAGAATGAATTCAGATTGTATTCATAAACAAACGTCATGATGGAAGTTTCAACAGTTTCTAAAATATTCTTTTTTTACGACTTTTGGAATGACTTGACCTATTTTCTTCCAAATTTATATTTACCTTCTAGCCAATTTTGATCAAAATAAACTCTCCACGAACACATATAAAAAATGTTTTTCTATTAAAAACCATATCCTTATCGTCCAATAAATTCGAACACAAATTTGATTATTCTATTCGCAATTTTCCGGCATTAATAGATAAATTAAAAACCCACGTTGTCCGACAATGACCTATTAAAACAATTCTAATAGGTAATTTTTTTATTCGTGCGGAATTATAAAATCTCAATACGAGTTTAATTGTAATGTAGAAGTTATAATTACTGACATTACACAACAATATTTTGTAACCATAAATTAATTAAGACTAAAATAGAAAACATTAATAAACAACGCAGAAAGTTGAATAAGTAAATAAATTAATTATATAAAACAATGTAGACCGTCAAATTTTATATAATATTTAAGAATGTTCAACGAACTACGAACTAGAATACTAGATGAAAGTTATGAATACAAAAAAAAACAAGATTCATCTGTTTCGGAACACTTTGATTCGCGAGTTGATTTTGCGTAATTTTACAATAATCGATAACTCTCGATTATTTTAAAACAATCACAACAACAAAACAAACGAAAATCCACCAATTTAGCGTTAAATCAAATCTAGTTGGAACGAAGAAATGTTGTAAAAGAGAACAAAGAAATCACGTTGACATGATTGCACACGATCGATGGCGTTGTAATAAATGAAAATAAAAGGCACTTACTTCGTATAGGTTTTGCAGTTTTCCAGCACCTTCTTTTTCTCCCAGCCTTCCTGGGTTTTCACCCAAGTCTCACCGGGCGATCGCCAATCTTTGGAAATAAACGGCATTCCGTTTATGTTGGATACCCGACGAACGCACAAACGATTTCAAATAAACAGCTGATGGTGTAAAAGTAAATAAATAAAAATATTTCTTGTTCACTTTCTCGCTCTAAGAGCGCAAACGCAGTAACAATTACGAGAAACACATAATTGGCCGTGACCCTATGTTCTGCAAATACGAATTTACGCGACTTTTTCCGGTAAATCTGGCAACGTTTTGTTGATTTTATGTCGCTGTCTTCGTCCAGCACGTGTTTTGTGATATCTCTTTCTTTTTCTTTAAACATTGATGCAACACTGTCGTTTGATATTGGGAAAGGTAGCCGAATAGCATCCATACAAGTAGGCTATTTAGAAAATGAAGAAGTTGATTAAGTACAACGTTGCCAAGTTAAAATATTCTAAATAACATCTTTAAAACGAATTTTTTAAATTTCTTTTAATTTTTGATGATTTAGCGTTTTTTAAAATTATTTAACATTTTTATTTAAAAAAAATTGTTTAAAAACCACGTAAAAATATAAATTCTTCATATTAACATTTCTACCTCCTTTTTCAAAACCATAAAAAACATGAGCTAACGAAATTCTATCAAACTTGGCAAGTGTGTGACACTGACAGTTCTTTTCGACGTGTTATTTTAATCAATCATAGATGGCGAAAAAATTTAGTTGTAATATGAGTTGCCTAACTTTTATTATTTGAAATTATAATAAATTGCAACTTGCAACATTTCGTAACAAAATAGTAGAAGAATTTAAAAGTAAAATTAAAATCAAGTTTAAAACTGTTTTTATGTTGTTTCTGTTTATTACCTAATATGTATGATTGAATACCAAAAAAATAAAATGATAAACGTAAAAACCTGTGTAGGAATAATAATTTTTGTGAATTCATTTCGTTAGTACTGGTAACAATTAGAATATTTGATGTAGAATAGTATATTAAATGGTTTTTTTTGAAGAAATTTAAATTTTCCCGCTCGCGAAAGCAGTAAAAGTACGGCTTGAAAGCTTCCTGTCTTGCGCAATGCGATTCGTCAAATTACAGGGCAGCGCCATATTGACAATAGGCGGCTGTGTATTAGGTGGAAATGGAGGTTTTTTAAGTGTTAAGTTCCGTTCTCGCTACCGGCAATGTTGAACGTTCTCAGAGAGTGCTCGAACGAGTGTCTATAACTGCAGGTCGCCGCTACGCAGCCCCATCGTTTGTATATTCCCGCGAATCGTGTGCACCAGCGAACTAACAAGAAGCTCGTAGCGCCCGCTAATCCCCTTAGCAGGTCATCACAAGAGGCTTCTCTAATCCCATTAACGGTAACTAGATTTATTTCTCGACTAAAGCGACTATAAAGAGCATGCCAGTGGTCAAAGTTAATCACCACACCCAGCTTACGACGATGGTGGCCGTTGCGGAAAGTGTCAAATTGTAGGTGTGTGTTTTTCTCGAAATTGTAGGACGCGGCGTGAATGAATATCGTGGCCCCGGCGAGTAGTCCACGATCATGCAGTGTTGTCAGTCAGATGAGGCTCGGGAACAGAAGAGAATTAACGCCGAAATCGAGAAACAACTCCGTCGAGACAAACGGGATGCCAGACGGGAACTCAAATTACTCCTTCTCGGTGGGTATTTCTATGATAATACATTCATTATTACCTTACTCTTATATTCGGTCGTGTTTTTAGTTTTTTTGTTTTTTCACACAATACGACCGGAATTTGTGGGTGGAAATTATCGTTTGTTGGCTTGTTTTTCTATTAAAAACGTTTATTCTTAGGAATCGGGGCTATTTAAGTGTACACATATTCATAGTTCCCGGAATCTAATTAATAAACAGGTTTTTTTCGTAAAGGGAGGCCTACCTACACGCTCAATCAATTAAACGGTATTAAAAAATACCGGGATATTTCGCTAGGGAATTTCATTTTCAAATGGCAAATTCTGATCGCTCGGGTTTTTTAATTGTCGCTATTTTTAGTTATACTTCTACTATTCTACGAAATAAGTCAAAAATTCTGTTAAATACATCTAAAAATATCATTTATTGGCAAAAATAAAAATGAAACTTTTTTTGGGACACTTTGTATAGCTAATATTTACTCACCAAATAAACCAGTAGACAATTATCAATTTACCAAAACGCGCCTACTTGCATTTTTTTCAACATTAAAATAAGGTCCTTAAATCATATAAGGCCGTTCTTGAAGAAAAATTTCCAAAAATGACATTGACATTTGTCACAAAAATTTTTTATTCTATTTATCAAATATTTACTATTTCCTAAAAAAGTAGCCTTTATTCTATTTTGCTATTCATAAATATTTCTTTGGTACCACTAAAAGTATTTCAACGACACTAATATTTCCTGAATTATGCTGTAACCTTCTTATTGTACTACTTATTAATATAAACTGTTTATTGGACTTGCAGGAACTGGGGAGTCTGGGAAGTCGACATTTATCAAGCAAATGCGAATTATCCACGGCGCCGGTTACTCGGATGAGGATAAGCGGGGCTTTATCAAACTCGTTTACCAAAATATCTTCATGGCCATGCAAAGTATGATCAAGGCCATGGATCTCCTCAAGATCCAGTATGGAGATTCATCGAATCAGGTCAGTTGCTTTCTTTTCCCTTAACTCATTTCGTTCTAACTCCCCGTTTGTTGTAGGAAAAAGCGGAGTTGATAAAGGGAATTGATTACGAAACCGTTACAACATTCGAAAGTCCCTATGTGGAAGCCATTAAAGACCTTTGGGCTGATGCTGGTATTCAAGAATGTTACGATAGACGTAGGGAATACCAACTTACAGATTCCGCGAAATAGTAAGTTCGTATTTACTTAACTTTTTGATTTTTTTACCGAGAAAAGTTCAAAAATATTAACGAGAAATTTCTATTGGAAACTACCGAGTTGTTTTTGAGTAAATGAAAAACATATTCATAAAAATGGATATTACAAAGTTGTGGGAATAATTTAGGCTGCAGTTAAATTTAATTATCTTGTTTAGTAGTTTGGCAATCTGGAATTGATAAACAATGGGTTATTTAGATTAATATCGAGTGGTTTTAAATCAAGTACATCTAACCCTCAAATCATTTTTAGTATATTAATTTTTTGAAACACTTGGATTCTTACAAAAATTTTAGCTATTTAAACGTTAACAGTAGGTATTATACACTATGTAGCTCAGTTATTATAAACAAATATTTGTTTACAAAATTTGCAATTCATTAGATGAGTAATATGTGGAAAACCACCGATTTCTTAATATATTCAAAATAATTACAGGTGAGATTTGCAGAGTGAAAAAAAATAATGCTTCTGATTTATTTATAGATTCGATTATTGAATAGATTTTTATATACAAATTTGTTCATGAGATTTTTATTTTGTTATTGTTTCAAATTGTGATTAGTTGAAGCCTTTTACATATTACGCGCGTTAGCTAAATTATTAAGGGACGTATTATTAACCGATTATGATTAGATTTACTAACAGTAACATTAGAATGTAACTATGTAATTAAAAGAATTGCAACAGTTTAATTCATATTTAAAATGTTTTATAAAACTTGTTAAAAAAATTCTACTAAGTTAGTATGATTAAATAGCCCAAGTTAGTGTGCCTCAATAGCCATAAATCATGTCTCATTCATAATTTACATATTTAAGGGCCAGGTTTTTCACCTCCGAATAGTTATTAACGACATTCTTTTGACGTTTTGTCCACTTTAACCTACATACCAACGTTCCTATAAATTATTCGGAGGTGAAGGAACCGACCGGTCATGCCTTAATAATGACACCGAAAAAAATTGATAAATCTAATCGGACGAGGATCGTAAATGGAAAAATTGTGCGATTCATGGCGCGTTTGCGTGCATTTACAGCTATTTGGAAGAAATTGATCGGGTTGCGGCGCGTTCTTATTTACCCACCGAACAGGACATTTTACGCGTGCGAGTGCCCACCACTGGCATCATAGAATACCCTTTCGATCTCGACGAGATCCGGTTTAGGTAAAGGACAAAATGGATGCAATCTCGATACCTGCTTGCGCGATACGGATTATTAATTTTTTAATTAACTAATTATTTAAGAATTAATATCAGTTCGTTTCAAAAAAAAAAGATTAATACTCTTTATCGTGTATCCGCAAGGGATTTCTTTATCTGTTGATATGATTGGCATGAAACCGAGACTATGGCTTTTATTATTGTATTATAATATTCTCGAAGTAGATTTCGGTAATCATTTTTTTGCCTTGTTCAAAGCTGTTGTAAGTATGTAAGTAAGTAATCGAATGGAATTTGAACATGGCAAATATATGGAGCCGAAATTCCTACAGCGCAAACCACAAAATTTAGTTTGTTTATATGCACGGTATTTATTTAGTCAACCACAGATTATGTTTGTTAAAAGAGGCACACTCACACTAGAAGTTTCGTTATCTAATTGGCTCCTCAACATCTCCCATCATCTAGATTATAGTCAGTTTGATAAATTTTGAGGATCCAAGTGAACTAAACGTTTCGAGCATTTTTTCTTTACCGATACATCTAATGTTGTATAAAACGTACTTTTTTTTACAATTTAATTTACCGGTCTTTTTTGGCTGCATGTTGCATGTTTGTACTGTGTTGGTTGCAGTTACCTTAGTGACCTGGAACGAATTAAAGACCCCGAGTACTTGCCCACTGAGCAGGATATCCTGAGAGCAAGGGCACCTACGACGGGCATCATAGAATATCCTTTCGATCTCGACTCGATTATCTTTAGGTACGGTAAGTTGGTGGTAGGTCTGGGAATGGGGGGTGATGGTGTGTATTTTTCCTTTACGGGGTTCGATTTTGTATTAACATCGTGTAATATGAAATGCTGGATTATTTGAGTGATTGGCAACGCTGTATTGTGGGAAAGAAATTCTTTATACTTCCAGGATTTCTGTAACATAAATCATATTTATAGACACGTTGATGATCGGCATTGAAACCAGCATTTCTTATTATGTAGTTTAATGGGTAGTTTAAAAACTGTTTTGTGGCGTAGGCATTACCGATTCGATTTTTTTTCCAAGTATTCGTTCGGTTTAATTTAAAATGAGAGATTTGAAATTTTTAACTTTTTTCTCGCGAACGAGATAGGTTTCATAATCCAATTAGCACTTGAGGAGTTTCTTAGATATTCGATGTATTTTTACACATGGCGATTACATTGGTTAAAAATCGGCTTAGCCGAGAATCGTTCGCGATCCGGATTCGCGTTCGTAAATAAAAGTTAATTCGATATTTAGTTTATGTTTGTCGGAGTTTTCTTTACAAAAAAAACGACGTTTTCGATAGTTCTTTAACTGATAAGAGGTGGATATCATAGCTATTTTTAAACGAACGGAAAAACTAACGATACCAATTTATTTTTAATAATTTTGGCGTTTAATTAATAGAAAAGAAATTTTATATCTTTTAAAAAGCGAAAAAAAAATGATAAAATATAAAATGGGTTTAATCATTAACGTTTTAATTTAACATCCTGTACTAAAACTCTTTCAATACCAGGACAATGTTCAGTACATATGTAAATGCATGCTATTCGCTAATAAAATTGTTCTCTTCTGCATGTTTATGCCTGAAATACTCTTTAATGTAATTATTTATTTTATTGAGAGCTTTATTCGTTAATTTTTGAATACAATCCGAATGGAGTCGATTTCTTAGATATTCAAGTACGAGTTTAGTAAAAAATTAATTTGTTACATTCAAAAATTAATGTCCTGTCATATAAATTGACATAATTACATAATTTTTGGGCACCCACTAAGCTTGATTAATAAATTTTGCAAATACTTTGTTTAAATAAGAAGAAATAACTGAATAATGTTATTAAATTTGTAAATACACCTTTTACAAATGTAACTAGGAATACAACTTTTTAATCATGTTTAGTGGACATTTATGCAACAGCTATGCTTTAATTTTATCAACTCTGAGGAAAGCTATCTAGAAATATTTCCAATTGCATAACACTAATTCGTACATATTTGAATTTAAAATTTTAATAATGTAAATAAATGCTTCCTCTGGGTAATTAATTTGGTTCAATGGTACAATTTTAATAATTTTATGATTTTCCTGAAAACAGGATGGTAGATGTAGGAGGACAGAGATCAGAAAGAAGGAAATGGATTCACTGTTTCGAAAATGTCACTTCCATCATCTTCTTAGTAGCTTTAAGTGAATACGACCAGATTTTATTCGAATCTGAAAATGAAGTAAGTACACGATTTACAAATTGAAATTACTTTTGATTAATTCAATCGTATTTGTTTTTAGAACCGTATGGAGGAATCAAAGGCGCTTTTTAAGACAATTATTACCTATCCCTGGTTCCAGCATTCATCTGTAATACTATTCTTAAATAAAAAAGATTTATTAGAAGAAAAAATTATGTATTCGCATCTCGTCGATTACTTTCCAGAATACGAAGGTAAGGATTTCTTTTTATATTCGATTTGATATATCTATCGGGGTAAACGTTTAACGTACACATTTGTATTAAGGGCCTAGTCAAGATCATGTAGCCGCAAGGGAGTTCATACTCAAGGTATATTTGCGAGAAAATCCCGATTCTGAACGATCTTGTTATTCTCATTTTACCACGGCTACAGGTTCAGTGGATTCAATTATTTTTCGCTAGATTTATCTGTAACTGCAAGAATATTATCGCTTCAAAAATTGTATTGCTAGAACAAAGTCCTTTGAATATAATAGACCTATTCTTGATTACTATACTCATCATTGAGTGATTGAAATTTCACAGTAAAGGATGGGTCTATATTGCTCGGATATAAGCTCTACAGTGCATAGTTTTGCACTTATATGTAGAAACTGTACCATTATTTACCATATACTATTTGAAATATTAGTAAAGTATGCTTATATTACCTTTTGTGTAGGTCCCCAACGAGATGCCATCGCAGCTAGGGAGTTTATTCTGCGAATGTTTGTAGACCTCAATCCCGACAGTGAAAAAATCATATACTCGCATTTTACTTGTGCCACAGGTATTGCTAGAAACTAGATTTAAGTCTGTTGAGAATTAACAAAGTTCGATTGTTAATGTTTCGCACTTTGTTAGTTTTCAATATAGTAGTTATAGTAACAAGCTTGCTTCGTAGGGACGATTGTTTTTTGATTTTTTTTAACTTTAATTTAATGAAAATTAATTGTCTTTTGCATGCCTTCAAACGGAAATGGATTGTTTTTTGTTAAATTGTTACATAGATACTGAAAATATTAAACTTGTATTTTGCGCTGTCAAAGATACTATAATGCAGACAGCCCTAAAAGAATTCAACTTAGCTTAAAAAAAGGTAAATTTAAGTTTATCTTTGGTTTATTTAATTTTTGTGTTTGCACATCAGCGGTGTTTATGCGATTATTTATGTACCGGGTGCAGTAATAAATACCATAAGGTATAGTGTGTCCCTTACAAAGGGTGTTTACAGCCATTTGCACCGGTACATAACTGTATTTTTTCTAATACCTTTATCTAATGAGATTCTTTTTTATTTCGACAGATACGGAGAACATCAAGTTCGTATTTGCGGCAGTAAAAGACACAATATTACAGTCGAATCTTCGCGAATACAACCTGGTCTAGTACTACCCGTTTCCGAGGTGTTTTATCGCTGAAGGTGCCCCGCCGGCCTACTTCCAGCCAATCATTCAGCCGCCGGGACCAATTTTTCGAAAAAAATAAAAATAAAAAAATGTGATCTGTCCGCCACCGCCGCAAATCGACCGGTCAGTTCTGTTGACGAAGTCGCGCCGATGCGAGACGCGAGTCCGGTCCATGCCCGATCTCGAAAGACTGCTTTTGTCGCATCAAAAAATTTTGCACGTAAACTTTTTGATATGTCGTACGCGCGCCGAGGACGGCATGGAACGGTACCGAACAGAGCCGGCTGTCATTTTAGTCCACGGGTCTTTTTTTTAGAAAACTCCAAATACATGCAAATTGAAAAAAAAAACAACCGTGAAAAAATATGTGTCCAAGAGTGTGTGTAACACTTAGTATAGTGTGCCATTGGTGAAGATCGATGGATTTTTTAAAACAGTGCGAAAAGCTGTAACCTTGACCTTTCATATTGCTGGGTGTGGTATTAGTTTTTGTTTTTACGACGCATCGGGTTTTTTTTAGAGGATTTTCGTTAGTTTTTTTTATATTCGAGTGCGTCGCCGTATCATTTTTGTTATTTCGGTGTCGCGTAATCGCAGCGATAAGTGTGGTTTTTATACTCGTATTTTATATATGCACGTAAGGAATCATTGCTGTGGTATTTTACTTAAAAAAAATCGTCCTAAAATAACTAATCTAATTTAATAATTTAAATGTCGCTTGTATACAGCTGATGCATTGTGAAAATACGAACTATTACCACGCCCGAATAGTATTGTTATATATAATATATAAATTAATGTAGAACATAGGAGATAAGGAAACTAAACTTTTTTTGGTCCGGTACTTTTTTAAAAAAAAGAAACGTTTTTTTTAAGAAGGCCGATCGGGAAGAATTGCATTCTTTCTCGGCTATCAAACTAGTCTGAAGTGCAGTAGGCTTAGTAGGTTATAGAGGAAAAAGGATTTCTTGTACAATTTTTTATTAATTTATTCCGAAATCTCATGTTTTCCACCTTTTCCTTACAACCTACTACGCCGCTAATCTCAAACAATTTTTTGACATTTATATTGTATCTTAACGTTAATCACAATGTGTTATGACAGAGTTGGTTGAATTTAATGATAATGCTCCGGTCTATTAGCATATAAATTATTCACTCTCGCTTTTCGTGTATTGATCTATACATTTTATCGGTTTATTTGGTCACTCACTACCCTGCTATAAAATATACTGAGTGATCCGTGATTAGCAACAATGGAAAAAGTCGTGAATGGCGAAAATGTTGACGGATTTTTTCATTTTTTACGAATCACCCTGTATAATAATTGTAAGATTTATTATTTTAAACTATCTTTCAGATTTTTTTAGTTTCAAATATGATCCTACAAATTAAATTTCATGACTTTAAGATTTAAAGTGCTGTACTTTTATAAATTCGGCAACGGCGCAACTAGTAATATAGGAGAAACTGATTCATTATAATACCCTTAAAAATGCGGCGTTGCAGAATTCGTAATTGCGAAGTAACTCTATAAAATGATACCAGTTCTCAATTTGTAGGCATTAAAGATTTTTCTGTGTTGGATGGTTCAATGTGAAAGCCCTAATTGTAGTCGACTCCCAAATGCTATTTTTAAATATTATTTTCAGACCCATTCTTATATTGGTTTTGTATCTACATCAGATGATAAAAACTATGTCATTAGAAGCCTTGATTACTATTAAAAATGTGATAGACTGGAGTATTCAATCGGCTACATGGAGAATTTCTGAAACATGACCAAAGTTACCAAGTTTTAAAGCTTGTATGTTAGGAAATGTATCCTGTAACCTAGGGTGGGCCAATCCCTTTAAACACAAACATTTAATTCGTGCAATCAAGTAGTACTCTAAAAACTATCGAAGATAAAAAAGTTTTTGGAAACCTATTTTTGAATACATCGGTTTTTTTGAGATAATTGTTTTATAGTCATTGTTGTTCACTGACAAAAAAAAACACTTCAAAAGTTTAATTTATTGTAACAGTTGTATAAAATGCGTTGTTTATTAAAACCCGAGAAGAAAGTAAAATTTGAAAGAGCTCGTAAAAGTCATTTGGTTTTTTTTTTTTTTTTTGAATTACACACATACAGCTTATCCCAGCAAAACGAACGTTGTAGAAGTATTTTGTACGTACTTGAATCTTTTCGTATTGTCTAACGTTTTTGTGAAAAGAAAATCCTTTAGCTTTTTTGCGTGAATAATTTGTGGTAATGTTGGGAGATGCAGTATTATTTTTTTTACTTGTCTAAAGTTGTTGGCCCAATCGCTTGGAAGGCCCTTTGCGGTAATTTCCTGTCATTCCAAGAATGCCAGGGGATTCCCTGGAGAAAAAAAAAGTAAGAATGTGATGCAAACTTTGCTTTCTTTGCGTATTTGTTCAGTTAACATACTATACTAATGGCAATTTTAAAAAAATATATATAGGAGCTTGGTTTTTGTGGGTCTGAGCATAGTGAATGCATTGGTGTGATTGGAAACGAATGTACGGGATGTCCTGCAATAGTTTATGAATTTGTAAAATCATTTGTCAAAGTATAGATTTTTTTCTGATAACTGTTTTATTTTTATAAATATCTTCCATTAGACAGTTCCCTATTATTAAAGTCCAAGTCCATCCTTCCTGAATTTTCAGACAATATATTAGGGTTGAATATTAGGATAAAAACAAAAATCATTTTGGAAATTACTTTATGAATAAATTATTTTACAACGACTTAACTTTAATAAGAAAATAATAAATAATCGTGGATAGGGTTACAGTTAAAATTGCATTAAATATACATAATTTTCATATATAAAAATGAGGTGTTGGTAATAAAAATATAAAAAACATTATTCCTCACAGGCCTGTATCGATGTAGAAAGCTACAAGAACGAACAACGAATTACTACATAGACAATTATCAATTTAGCTAATTTGTGAAGGTAAACATGCTATTACGGTAGTAAAAACCCTACAAGTGGGGGGTTTCAAAATCCACAAAAAACTGTTTCAAATTCATCGCAAACTAAACAAGAGGGGTTTCGAATCGAATGTTCTTTTTTTAAGTCTAATTAGAAGCCGAAAAATTTCAAACAATTTCTATTAATTCACGATAAATTTTTGAAACAACTTTTTGTGGTTACTCCAATTGTTCTACTGGGCCTATATTACAATATACGAGTAGCGTTTGCTCCTCAACTTACGATACTTTAATCATTTTAACATCAAATTAATATTCTTTGGCAGTTTATTCCTACACCACATTGGAGGAATGATAAATTTACATTTGTGAAAATGGATTACACGTTGTTCACGAACGAATAAATTGAAACTTACACTCATTAATTCACATATCGAAGTACAATTCATTTGTTCCGAAACAAACAGATTGACTATGCTTAAACTAAGTTTCTAATCTATAATTTACCAAAAAACGTTACAAATTACCAAACCGAAGCTAAGCTTGGTCTTGCCTCAACCGTAAACTGGGAAAATTAACTATTAAGCCAACCAAGATATCCAAAAATTTAATTATTAGTTCATGGCACACAGAGACAGGAAATATTAAAATTGGAAAATATTTTTTTCGTAATTTTTCAGCATGCGTGAGTGAAAATGAAGCGATTCATTTTAAGAACATATTTGTCTTCAAATGGAATTTATACGAGCCTGCATGAACAAAGAGGCGTTTTTAATATTTCCTGAAATCACATTGGTGGATATCCTATTAATAAATTACATGAAAAATTATTTATTTACAATTGGTGCTCAATTTATCCACAGTTTAAAATTTGAGCAACGTTTGGAAAAACCAGTAGGTACTTACAAATATATCAAGACTTGTTCTATCTAATATTTCTATAAAAAAAGGACCTAATTTTATTATTCATAAAATCGAAGCCGTAATTCCTTCAATATTTTATTTTTTTAAAAGTGTGCCCTTCAATTTAAGGATGAAGTTTCGAAACTCCATGCCAGCGATAATAACAAACTAAAATTCGTATTTGGATATAACGCAATTAAAATAAAATCACAATAATTATAAAAATGTATAAAGTACTATAAAAGTGATGATTATGTTTGCTCTAAATTCTATTAGAACAGGATGAATGTTACCGGTTGCACCGGATTAAAGCGATAATAGACTGGGTAAGTATGACGCAAAACTTTTGAGTAAATTTGATGCAGAATCAAGAACTCGATTGAAACAGGATTCTTAGATCATAGTAGGCTGCCCTTCGAAGGTAATGCAATTGACAGAAAAGATTAGGTAAGTAAAATTAACAAAGTTTTATTTTGTTGGGGTTTTCATTCAATTTAAAACTCTTTTTAGAAGAATTTATTATTATAAAACAAAAATTCTATGCTGTCCGAAAATAAAAATCAGTGCTGCCAACATATTAATTTGTTTTACGTCATAAATTCAGCCTATTAGGAACAGTCTATAGATTTGTGGAATGCTTTTTGTGTTGGTAACATTTTGATTTAAAAAATACCGTATCACTTCGATACCTTACCCTATATTACTTACATGTAATTTAGAAAAGGTGGTTCATAGTCATCGTTTTTATTTTTGAGCTCGAACGAAAAATATCAGAGTAAAAAATAGTTAAATAAATAAAATAAATTTGTAATTTGTACATTACGAAACAGACTTAAATATATTCTATCAGTTCTCGTTTTGGATATGAAAAAAGTAATAAAAGTTCATCTGTAAAGATCTTATGAAATACAACTCTACTAGTTACAAATAGGTCTAGGCACCTTCAAAAATTAAGTCTTAATTTTTTTTTATTATTGAAAATCGTTAGCTTCTTTTTGTTGTACTAAAATGTATACGCGTTTGTCTCTTTTATTATAATTTCAGTATTATTAATACTAATAAAGCAAAATTCGTATGTTAATCTCAAAAATTTACCGAATGTCCCAAAATAATGTAAAATTACATCACTGCCTAGCGCCACTCTCTTTAAAGTGTATATTAAAATGAAAGGTAATTGAATGGCGCTAGGCAAATGTTAAAAATACTCATTTAGCACCCGTCACACAACAATACAACGTAAAACTAAGATTACAATTTGGCGTAATGAATTTCAATTTCTTGTTCAAGATTTTGAGGTAGATTATTTGAGACAAAATTCGCGAAAAAGTAGAAACATTCGGTTATTAAAATACCTTACAGACCGACACAAATAGTCGTAGACGCAACAGTAGCTATGTATATCGCGCAGGTCACGTCTAAAATTACTCAAGCCGGTCTGTACCTAAACATTACAGTAATTGTTCAGTTTTAGTTTATGAAAATAAAACAAAAAGTAATGGTAAAAGTAAAATAGAATCAACAACTATTGTCCATCTGCCTGCATTTCCCAAGAGTAAACACAACTCTATATCGCATAAAAAAGAAAAAAACTTACAACTCCGTCACAGCATACAACTGGCGTTCGCTCTCGCTGTTGGCGTAGAGCACCTCGCCGTGGGCCTGGTCCTGCACCCTGGCCGGTCTGAACTGGCCGCCGGCCGACCGTTGCAGCGATCTGAACTGCACGTTCGGCTGGAAGGTGCTGCCCGGCGGCGCCTCCTGCCACGCGCCCCTCTGCAACGATCTGAAATTCGCCGGATTCAACGGCGTCTCGATGCATCGGGCCGATACGGTGGGCGGCACGCGCGGCACCGGCGGCTGCTTGCGCGCCTTCTCGTCCGGCGTTTGGGGCAACGGACGCCGCCCCAACGAGCTGTACTTCTGTATGTTGGCGGTGCGCTGGACGTCGCCCGGCTGCTGACCGGCCGGTTGCTGCTGATTGGTTAACTTAATACCTTTGAAGCTTGGGAATTCCTTGCAGGCAGACCTAAAAATACACCTCTTTTTACCTCTTTATACACCTCGAATATTTATACACCTGTTCTCCTCATATTAACTCATCACAAGTACATATTTTCTCTTCATAAGCTTACATCCTCTCCTCACAACCTCATATCTTCCTCTCACAACCTAGCTTACATCCTCTTCTCACAACTTCACATGTTCTCTCCTCAAAATCTCACAGCTCTCTTCATAAGTTTACATTTTCTCTTTACAACCTTACATGTTCTCTTCTCATAACCTCACACCTTCTCTCCTCATAGTCCTCACATCTTCTCATCACAACCTCACTTGTTCTCTTCATAAGCTTACATTTTCTCCTCACAACTTCACAACCTAGCTTTCATCCTCTTCTTAGAACTTCACATGTTCTCTTCCCATAACCTCACACCTTCTCTTCTCATAGTCTCACATCTCATCAGAACCTCACACGTCCTCCTTATAACCTTATATCTTATCCTCACAACTTCATATCCTCTCCTCACAACTTCACATGTTCTCTTCTCATAACCTTCTCACCTCATAGTCTCGCATGTTCTGATCACAACCTCACAGTGTTTTCCTCGTAAGCTTACACCGTTTTCCTTACAACCTCTTTAATTAATAATAACTTGTGACCGACCTGTCTCAGTAGAAGTCTGAGCTCTCGAGCGTTTTGCACTGCTTGCTCAAAGTCGCGTACTTTCCATTATTGGGGCCCGGTAGTGCGGGTTCGTGATGGTGGGAGGGCAATCGGCCCAGCGTGTGTCCCCGGAGATGTGACATATTGGCGCTGTTGCGGTAATGCTCCGACGGTCGCATGTCGCACCCATCTCTGTAAATCGATCGGAGGACGTCCTTTATTTTCGGTTTGTCGTTAATCGGTTTTCTACGGGCAAAGGAACGATGGGCGTTTTCGGCAAATTGAGATTTTTTTTCAGCTAGACGCTGATCGTTCCTTTGCGGGTTTAGTCTTAATTAAATGTTAGTTCGTCTAAGGGCATTCCGAGAAATAAAAAAAGGCATCACCAAATAATATAAGATGTAATAGAGAAAAATATCAAGCTAATAGGGAAGGCTTGCAAGACGTATTTGGTAGGCGAATAAAATTGGAGAGAAAAGATATAAAATAAATAGAACACTGGAATAGAATCGGTAAAAAAAAAATTAACAAAAATTGACTAATTCAAAGGGAAAAAAATAGAAAAATAATTCAAAGTAAATGAACCGTCGTAATCTAGATGGAATGGAGGATGATCACGAGTATAGTTCGACAAAAAAAGATTTTGTTCGACCTCAATTGTAATTTAAAAACTCGCACACAAAATGAATGAAACGTTATGAATCAAAAATTTCAAATTGGAATTTCAAATATCGAGCTTGGTGAACTCTATTATTTTTTGTCTAACTATGAATGCTTCTATTAAATGAGTTATGCCAAGTAACCCAGACGGAAGGCATGATTATGCAAATTTTATTTGAATCTCAGAAATTGAAAGCTTCATCTCCTATTTGAAAATTAGCCATAATCGTGCCTTCGTCGGGAACAGTGCAAAATAAACAAAAATGTAATATACGAGTACATGTTTAAGTACTTTAAACTTTTCATCAACACCAACTGGCTACAATTTTAAATAAGCACCGGCTTCTCTCTGTATTTAATACAACTTAAAAGTATCTTAAACCTGCATCGAAACTAAAACGAAAATTAACAAAAAAAAACTAATACAATAAAAATTCTGCTTCATGCTCTAACGAAGGAGCGGTGGCATTGGCATTGACATGCAACGTTCGATTATGCAGCAAAGCGGACGTATAACTAGGCGGGGGTGTATCAGGGGGATAGGACGACCCTTGGCTGCGTTGGAGAGTGCGCGCCGCTATCGCTTGGCTCGCCTGCGGAGGCGGAAGGTACGAATCGTGCTCGGTCACTTGCTGGTAGTCCTTCCTGCAAAACAAAATCCGATATAACACTAAAAACACATCTATAAGTTAGTAGCGCGTTCGTACTTCTTTCTAATGTAAATCCACGTGTGAGAATCCACCCAAACCAGTATGGTCAACAAGAAACCAGCGAGAACCGACGATATTAACATTAGAGTAAGTCCTGTTAATCCGACGGAGCACAGAGCTTGTGCCCCTTTCGAATAATGCCTATGCAATGTCCTGCAATCCACCGAGGTTGTTAGCAAGTTGATGTATTTCTCGGCGGCGATTATGTCGTTCTTCAACGAACTAAAAATTAAGCATACGATTTAACAGAAACTCGTCGTTTATTTATCGGCTTATACCTGAATTTGGTGTCTAATCCTTTGTTGGGATAGAGCTTCTCGGCCGGCTTGATCAACGCGCTCAGATTGGAATGCATGTTGTCGATCAACGTTTTACCCTCTCTGAGTCTCTGCGTGAAAGGGTTGGCCCTGGCCCGTTCGCAGTTCGTGTAGTAACGGAGGATCTCCTTCGACAGCTCGGTGCTGGCTTGGTCTTCGATGAACTTGTCGGGCGCCATGCACAAATCGCCTAACGCAACGCTCGAAGCTGTTCCAAACAAACAAGTTCATTATTCAACTTATTATTTATTTATTTATTAATACAATCGAAACACGTGCGTATCTAATAAACTTCCTGTTTATCTACACATTGAACTTTCGAATTAATAAATCGTTATCGCTTCGAAACAATTGACTTATTGACAAAAAAACGCACCTAGATAAATGCTCGCCATTATGTAGGAGGCTATGACGGCCAACAAGCCGCACACCGAGAAGGCGATCAAGGCGCATCGGTTGTGCCTCGCGACGCCTACCAGCAGTATCACGCACAAGATGAGCAAGATGCTCAATACGGCCATGGTAAAGGGCCATCGGGCGGCTTCGACCTTGTGCCCCAGTACTATGGTAGATGATAGACTGACGCCCACGAGCGGTTGACGGATGTCCCGAGCTGCGTTTGCCGTTGCGTTTCTGTTACCTGCAAAAAGAAGACAGTCAAACGATTGTTTCTAAAGTGGGACTTTAAGATGCAAACTACGGCCTTATATTTCTAAGGTCTGGAAACATAGGTCGAAAAAGTGTACCGTTATTTGAGGATAAAACGGGGTTCCTAAAACGGATGCTAGGAGGCGATGTTGTAAAGAACCACTGTTTTTTGCGTACGAATTAGCATTACAAAAGGTTTTATTCAAACTAAAAATATATATAAAATATAAAAATATACTCAAATCAGCGATAATTTCTCCATTTTTTCCTCGAAATGTCAAAAAATAATTTTTGAAGTTTTGACAGTTTGAACTGTCGTCTCACAACCGCGATTTATATGTAGCGCGACGCTGATTGGCTGAGATAAGTTGGTCCTCCGATCGTTCGCCACGGTACGGCGCAAAAGTGAAGCTCAAAAAGTCCTCAAATAACGGGACACATTCCCTAATGCATAAGCATAAGCCGTTTCCAGACCTTAGAAATATACGGCCGTGAAGCAAACGTAAACTATTAATTTTGACATTAATGACATTTCGAATGACAGAAATTTAATCGAGGTGGGAATCGATTTTTTTGTATAGAGGTGCAGTAACGACTGTTACAAAATACCCGTTATTTTTGAAATATCGTTCGCACTTACTTATGATTCTGGAAAAATATCCATCGACCTCGCCCATCAACTGCTTATCTTTGTGGTGTACTTGAAAGACATTTGAGATTTCCTTGATTTGCCTTTCGGCTTGGACGCGCAACTGCCTCTCGATGTCCTCCGTTTGATTGCGAATTTTGGATATGTGGATATCCACTTGCCTGGAATTATTTATAGAATTAGTTATTTTTTTTTGTTCCTAATGAACCGACCAACAGACGCGGTTCGTAAATATTTAATTAACCAAACTAATCGAGAAAAATAATTAACCGGATTTCGAAACGTTCATTATAGAGCTATTATTATTTTATTTGATGGTTAAAATTGCCTAAAATCCAGCGCTTAAAAACAAATCAGAAATTCAATTTGTTTGCGACTTGTACCACCATCTGAAATCACAAAGTAACATTAACAACGACTTACTCAGCTTCTGTAAGAGTTTGCACGACGCCATTGTGCAAATCATCGTTGCCGTAGAGCCCTAAGCCTATGCCAGCACAGCAAAGGACCGAAACCACGGCCAAAATGACTTTGAGCGCCGCTATCGACTTCGAAGCCCTCGGTTTCCGATCGCAGCATCTCGTCAACAGGTAGATCAGCAGGACGAACAGCGTCAGGATCAGCCATATCGCCGGTATGGAGCCGAGAATACCGAGACTCTAAGGGTTGAAAACGTATTGTACACACTAAATAATTTATTCCAACGATGCGCATACCTCCAAATACACGGGGTTGTTGGGCTCGAAGGAGCTGTTGACGTACTGAAAGGTAACATTGACGTGGGGCAGAGAGTGTAGAAAGCGCGCTATCAGGGGATAGCTGTACGCATCGTCGGGCCTATCGCCCATGCCCATGCCCTCCAATTTGGAGAGCGCCCCCCTCGCCGACGGGAGTTATGCCAATATTGAGGGAGATCCGGCGCTGAATCACACCATGATGCGCCGTTAGGGGTCTTGGACGAGTATATGTTCTGCAACAATAAGGATACATCTGCTTATTCTGGATAAAAAGGGTTAGCGAATGAGCAGTTTTGATGACCTGGGTTAGGCTTCAGAGGATAAAGTATATGACTCATGAAATTGTCGTTGACTGAATGTCTTTGTTAAACCCACAGAGTATACAGGGTGGCCCAGAACTCACGCCTCACCGGGAAAGATCTTATGGAAACGACATCGAATATGCCAAAGCTGCAGTCGAAAACATGAAAAAGTTATTCCTTTGGTAAATAATAAAGAGGTTTAAGATCGACCAATTCCATTAGCAGTTTACAAACGCGGAAATAACGTAAATTATCTACAGTGCATTTCTTTAATGTCCCCCCCCCCCTTTTATTTTTTGAACGGATCAACTTAGAAAATTGAAATTTGGGATAATGGAACTAATGCATGATTACTATATTTTGGAGTAAAATTGACAGATGAAAATTTCAAGATGGCGACTGGGCGCCATCTTGGGTAATAAATTTAAATGGAAAGGGGTGTCTTGTGATACATCATTTTGAAGCTCCTGACAAATACTCTACAACCCTGAAATATAAAGTCAATATCTGCACCTGCTACAAAATGGCGGAACATTTAATAATTACCTGAAAACAAACAAAATAATATCAATTTTTCTAGAAATATTTGTTTTTCTATGGCAAACAGCAATCCCAGGAAACCGATAAGGTTTGACAGGTTATTTTTGGTTAAAAAAATTCCAAAAAATTTAAGTACGACAACGAACATTAATGGTTTAGTCAAAATATGCTCATTTAGTTTTTGGTTTTCCTGGTGTTCAAAATATTCTCTTTAGTTTTCGATTTTCCTGGTGTTCAAAGTATTTTCATTTAGTTTTCGGTTGTTTAGTTCTCATTGCAGTTAGGTAGCACGTCAACTAACTCTAAAATGGCCAATTCTCGTCCATTGGAAGATGGAGCACCACCACATTACTCCAGACAAGTAATGAACTATTTGGATGCTATTTTCCCTGGTCGTTGGATCGTTGGATTGGTCGTCGAGGTCCTACGGAATGGATTTGACCAGAATTTGACCAGATTTGACACCTTTAGACTTTTTTTTATGGGGCTATTTGAAGCAAAATGTGTACGAAACTAAACCTGCTTCAATATTGGATATACGAGAAATAATTACAGATATTTGTAAAAATATCGACGTTACTATGTTCGAAAATGTTCGGATAGGCTGTTCTTGTATCAAGAAGTTCAAGGCAACCATTTCGAGCTTTTTTTGAACAGAACTCAGCTTATTTCCTTAAATTATGACGTTAAACGTCGATTTATTCAGGTAATTATTAAATGTCCGCCATTTTGAAATGGGTGCAGATATTGACTTTATATTCCAGGGTTGTAGAGTATTTGTCAGGAGCTTCAAAATGATGTATCACAAGACCCCCCTTTCCATTTAAATTTATTTTCCAAGATGGCGCCCAGTCGCCATCTTGAAATTTTCGTCTGTCAATTTTACTCCAAAATATAGTAATCATGCATTAGTTTCATTATCCCAAATTTCAATTTTCTAAGTTGATCCGTTCAAAAAATAAAAGGGGGGGGGACATTAAAGAAATGCACTGTATATACACCAATTTGACATTATTGGAAGACTATGTCCTTTTCACTTTCAAGGTCAACAAATAAAAGCTGCCAAAATCGGCTGCGACTATTGATCAAAGATTTGCTTCCAAATCAATCATTCAGAGCTCTGTCGTGCTGATACCAAACCTACAGAATTTTTTATTGCTTCAAAAGTGGTTCGAATCGAATGATCAATTATTTGATCAATTTGGAACCTTGAAAGTGAAAAGGACATAGAATCTTTCAATAATGTCAAATTGGTGTATAGCTCATTCACGTCATTTTCGTGGATTTGAACTCCTACTGGGGTTGGTCGATTTTAAACATCTTTATTTACCAAAAGAAAAACTTTTTCATGTTTTCGGCTGCAGTTTTGGCATCTTCATTGTCGTTTCCATAAGGCATTTCCCGGTGGGGCGTGAGTTCTGGGCCACCCTGTATTTCGTACAAATTTGCTCTAATGTGTATAAGTCAAGTTTATCCAATTTCAAATAAAAGTATGTAAGGTATTTCTAAATACGTATTTCAGCGTGCCATTTCTTCCTCAAACAGTAACGAACCCGAAATTCGTCTATTTTTACCGGTTGTTTACGACTTGTAGGTGCTTCACATCAATTAACTTCAAAGCGGAATTATCTGTAACCGACACCGAATCGTTTCATCGACTTTCAAACGCTAGAATTCTCAATCCCGGCATTGACATCAGCACGCCCATGCCGGAGAGCGCTCCTTTTGTTTGTATTACCGGCATCCTCCGGCGCGGCGCGTTTTCTTATTGACACAAGCCCTTTTTCTTATTCTCGGGGCCGGACCACGTGTTTATTTTTGAATGCCAAGCAGCTGGCTGCTCGGAACCCCAAACAAAACGACATCGAAAATCGCGGTTTCCATTTAAACCAAACGAACCGGGACTTCTCTTAATTTCAACAAGATTTCCGGTTCGATTAATTCGCTGATATTCGCATCATCAGTACATCCTGTACAAAACACGCAGTCTTCCCCAAAGCGTATAAAGTAAACTATTTAGAATAAATCTACGTTTGAGATGGATGAATTCGCGTTTTACAATGTACAATGAAGTAATCCCGAACGGGTTTATAGTGGGAAACAATACACTTAGGGGAACCATCCCTCTGCCACTGGAGGAACGCGTGGCGAACGGAGAGCGAGAGTCGCAGAGAGAAGAGGGCCCCAGAGCGGCGAATATATCCGGGACGCGAGGGCGTGGTCCCGGCAGCCGAGAGGACCGACCGGCGACCACGTTCCACGGGAACAGCGCTTCGTAGTAAATCGATCGCCCGGCGTCGGGCTTGTCGGGCTCGGCTCCGTCGCGAGGCACGGCGACGTCGACCACAGCGTCGAAGAGATCCCACGCCGCCCGGCGCGATTTACTGCTCTCTTACGAGAATTGATACTTAGCACGTACTTACAACTTCCAAGGCTTTCAATTACGCCGATCGCATAATAAACGTTATCGCGCTACATGTTACCAAAGTCGATCGAAATACTATCAAAGTTGCTACTGCCAGTAAATTTAAAATGCTTGTATCAGTAGATCAATAAATAATCAATAAATTATACTCTATTTCCAAAATAGTAGGCACTAAATTCTCGGAAATATTGTCGCTTTTCTTATTTATTACATAATCCTTGCTCTTCTAATTATTAGTCTCCTGCTGATTTTCCCGTCAAACACACTTGTAGCCTACGATATTTTCCGTACGCTACTGGGAGAGGCCCATTATCTCAATCATTTCTGAGAATTTAGTGCCTACTATTTTGGAATTAGTGTATAGAAGTAATTAAAGCGGGCGGGTGAATTCTACGCCTCTGATTTGACCTAACCTCCGCCCTTACAACCGTCGATGAATGACCGAGAATCGGAAAACGGCGTTCCCGTAGGCCTGCCGGGGACGTGCGAACGCAAATATCTCGAAAACCCGCGTTATTTCACTACCCCACATTCGGGGTTGTTGTATACATACGCATACATACACACGCTTGTATCTAATGTGTGTGTGCGTGTGCCATCGGCTGTAAATAAATCAAACGGGATTACTGGGAGTTTTGGATGTATTTGCGAGTTTCGACTCGAGAGTAGGTTATTTACCTCCGAATGACGGGGTGGATTTTCCGGGCGAAAATTCGGAATCGATTATCGTGGGAGTAACTGTTGAGCGTTCGTTTCGTACGATAATTCGGCGTATTTCAATTCGAACGGAATAAGATTAAATAGAGGAGAACGGGCTATTTTTAAATTAGGAGCAGAAGAGCTAAAAGAACAATTAGAGACTTCCGTTCGTTGGAATTAAAATGTGCGGGCGGTTGATGAGAGATGCTACGACTCTATTAGAAATCAAAATAAAAATACTAAAATTTATCAAATGTAACGAAGATACGAATTAACTAGACATATTTTAAGAAACAGTTATTTAGTCCCTATAATCCCACATAATTTAAGATGCGTTCGATGATACACAAACAAAAACTGTCAAAATTGACATTAAATTGACAAAAGTTTAATAGAGGCGGGAATCAATTTTTTGGTATAAAGGTGCAGTAACGACTGTTGCAAAATAAGCATTATTTATCAAACATCGTTCTCCTAATTACTCTATTCCATTCAAGATACTCGAAATTACTTTAATATTCCTTTTACAAATGTCGAGGTACCTACCCATTAGGTATTGTTATTTTGGTGAAGGATTCATGTGCACCATTATTAACACCAAAACATGTACGATTATTTAATCAACACAAAACAACAAACATACCAAGATATAATACTACGTACGAGTATTCAAATGAAACCGGTTCATTGTTTGACGTACAAATTACACACCAGACATTAATAGTAATATGTCGACAGAAAAAATTAAAATCGGCAATTACCGATTGCATCAACGTGTTTGTGTGACGGTTTTTTTTATTACAGGTTATTAAATAGCCAATTTAATCAAACGCAGACACGTTATCTTGGCAGTTGCGGCCTCGACTCGATTCAAAATTTTAGACATCATAATAACGTAACGGGATTTATAATCGAAATTCTAATCGTAGAGTTGCATGAGAAAAACAATTTGATTGTAACTAACTTTCTTATTGTTTTCCCATGTCTAAACTAAGCCCCAATTTTGGGTCGATGTTCCTCGTTATATCGATAAAAAACGCGGATCATTGATTGTTACGAAAAATATACGCAGAGTGCTTTTGGTTTCAATTTTCGTCGTTTATAGCCGCTTTGCAAGAGATGTTCGATGAGTTTCCGGGTTTTTCCGAGGAATTAAAGTGAGCACTAAACAGCTTGTAAAACAAAAAAAAATTAACGATTTAATAAAATCCCTCATCTTACTCATCTATTCGTGAAACGCAGCGCGCTTAAAAAGCCATTTCTGCAAGCGCAGAGGAAAGTTTAATATTAAATATTCAAGCGACGCGCCGAGCCGGGCCAGGGCCCACATTAACATTAATTTACGGAAGAGGGATGGGATCAATTAAAAATTTTTCGTGGATTTATTAAGGGCCATTTGTACGGTTCGAGCGCGTCCCGGCTCGAGATTTGTAATTCTATTTGGTCGTCGAACTTCCGGGCGGGGTTGTGTGAGTTGCATGAAGAAAAATAACATCGGTATTTTCACTGTAGCGCGTTTCCTGATTATTAATCGTTCCCCTTTCGCCGTTCGGACGGATCAAATAACAATCGGGCTTCTTGACCAAACGGAAATTGTATGTGAGAAACATTGCTTGATGGATAGGAGAGGGAAAATTAATTTTATCCCTAACGGTTGTTTGGTGGAGTATTTTAGACCGGGTGCTGAGGAGATACTGTAATTTAATACAATGTGAAGCTATTTTTAACCACAGAGGCAAATCAAATGATAATATTTCTCTTCGGCGTGTCTTCCCATCTGGTTGGAGATTTTCTCTCTACAACTTCCCAGATTTGTATTTTTTTTTTCGAAATATTTCTATATAAATTTTTATTTACTGTATCTTATCTTTGTGCCACTATCTAATATTATTTAACTCAAGCATTTTTAATTGCGTTTGTTATTAAATCGACGATTTTATAATTTTAAATAAATCATGAATAGTTTTCTCAAAACATATTAATAACTTTATATTATCATCTCACATTTTATTACATATAAGCGCTTATCTTAATTTCTGTGACGGAAATCATTTACTTTTTTTTTAACTGTAAATGAATTCCATTTTGAACTTGTTTGGAAACATTCATTAATTAAAGATTACCCGTTGAAAGAGTTACCTATTGAGTAACAGATTAATAAAAAGGTATACCTATACATAATTAAATTATAATTAATTTTTTGTGTACAACATATCTAACAATTTCGACTACCTATAATAAAACGCAATTAGGCAAGAGCTCATTAATATAGAATAGAGGATGCATGTAATATTAGATATAAAACCACGTTCCTCCGTTTACAAAGGACGTATGTGTGCATATAATTTATCGCGACGTTCTACTTTGTGCTTATCAAAAATTAAATACCACTGATCTGCCTTACCACAGTATAATACTGTGTCCTTACTAATAACAAATTGTAGTCTCATCTCGATGACCGATAACGCGTACATTATACCGCGATTTCAAACTTCCATTCGCAGAAACGATAACGGCGACAAATGAAACAATTCGCAAACTTTGATGAAGTTGCTAAATTCATTGTACCAACACCGACTTATGTAATTTTTCTTCGAATTGAAATACATGGGTATTATAATTAATTGAGTGCCGATACTTCGCAGGATGTGAATATTTGGATGATTAGTAGAAAAGTTTATATCAATAGATGTCCTAAACGTTTTAGTTTTCGATCTACAGGGTCTTACAATTTTAGAAAAAAAATAACTTTTCTATCATAATTTTCTTATCACTCCAGATATTTTTATGAAATTTCAGACATGGACGTCACTGGTAATAGTAGAAAATTAATTTTGTCCCCAAAAAAAGTGTCTCCATGCATGGTGAGCGCCTACCAAATTTCATCAAAATATCAAAAGCAGTCTCAAAATGTACAAAAGTACAAAAAGTACAAAATGTACAAAAGTAGGTAAGTCTTCAGACCGAATTTGCTCCAAAATAAATCAGGATTTTAAAAATAATTTTAATTTTTAGAAAAATAGCATATGCTACTTGCAAGGAAAACATGTAATTAGAATTGGATGTTTGAGTCAATTAAGGTCATTAAAATTTGTTATGTACATTAAAATGTTGATAGTAGAAGGATAATTTATGCATAAGGTAAATTATTAACGTGTTGAAACGATCTACTTTCGATAAGGATATAAATAAATAAATAAAAGCGGGAATATTAAATATCCGACATGTATCCAGAAACTAGTTATTTACCGTCGAACGGCTAATTTATTCCAGCTTTTGCGCGATTCCGGGAAAATATTTTCCCCGTACGTTCACCATGGGACGGGCGCGCCCCGTACTACACCCCGGAAAAAATCGATAGAATATTCTATAAAACGAAAACAGAATAATAAATTATTTTCACCGGCGGCATCCGGCATAATACGCATCAATGTTATTTCAGGATCAAATCCAGACAGTCCATATTTCATTTTAAATCTACAACCGGCATGTGCACTCACGTTTTGTGCATGCTATTCAACTCGCCCTTATCGACGATTGCCCCTAATGAGGCGAATTCAAACGGAAATCTAATTAATCGAGCACTCTGTACGAATATAAAATACTATTTTCGAAATGCGTATAAAGCTTAGATTCGCGTATACACAAAGACACCTATAAAAATAACCAATAATTCACTTAAACTCGAATTTAGATGCGAAAGAGCAAAAAAAAAACGTTTTAACATTGCGGAACTGGTAAAACATTAGACTCAAAGTCTGGTTTTGCATATTAAACGGTCCCGGTCCCGATAATATGCAATCCGAGATGATAATGAGGTCTTTGAAACCAACTAATAATACTTAACCGACTAGTCATGCACCGAGCACAAAAGTGATACGTTCGATTGCATACGAGCGAAAAATATTGAATTACAATAGCGAATAAATTTTTTAATAAAAAATGATTGATCTAAAAAAATTATCTACCAATAAACACCTTGCATTTAGGCACACAAAATCCTCTAAATGGATGTAAATTAGGAACAAAAGGGCTAATACTCTACTCTACAAAACAACGCTAAATATTTGCGTTAAACGCAATTTCTTTTAAAGTTTGCATTGAACCCAAATTGTCCCATTTTCTACCTGAAATATTACTGTGCCCAATTTATCTAAGTATAGGATCAAAATACCCTTTTATGCTCTTAGGTATAATAAATATATTTTGGCGCCCAATTTATCACAGCCTACTCCTCTATTTGCAGTAGAGTGTACACAGCCTTATCGAATTAACTTGAACTATCCCAACAACAGATAAAAACCGGCGATAAAAAGGCAACTATATAGAGAACCAACAGGAGCCCTTTTCCAATATTCCTACCTCAACGTCTTCCCGACCTTCGGATCGCGCCTTAAACGGATAGGATTACTTTTTAACTAGCTAACGAGTTTTAAATTGTTAAACAACATTATTTATGCGTTTGGAGGTCTCGGGGTTGATTAAATTAGCTCGACAGATGGGTTAGAGCAAATCGCTCGAACGCGAACTAGCCGAGCGACGCGCAAAGCCCGGCAAAAGCGAATCGAATTGATGTAATAAAATTGTAAATTAGATTAGGAGTCCGAAAGAAAAATGTATGTTAATGAAGCCGTGATTGCGGGAAACGAAGTCGCATCGAGCGAATTGATACAGGAAATTATAAATGGCGAGCCTTCGAGTCTAGGAAGTCTGATGTAGGAATAATGATGATTAGATGGGAGGAGTAGTAAAGATTGCTACCTCTAATGGTCTATCTTTTTAAGCTCAAGGTCTGTGAATTTTTATGTAACATCGGTACTCCTTCGCCCTTTACAAATGTATTAATCTTTTCTAAAATCAATCAACTTGAGGTGGCATTTAAACTCAAGAAAATTTTCGTTGATGTCCCATTTTTCACTCATTTACCTTTAATTCTCCAGCTACCTATTAAGATAATATGTTAATAGCTGCTTTAGGGATCCTTTGCAGTCCCATGCCAACTTAGACTTGCAGATTCTTTAATGTCGTTTGGCTGTCAGCTAGATTTGTTAAAGACCAATTCGAGAGTTGTGTAAGACTTCGATAATTTAATTAAATAATAATTGAGGATAAATAAAAAAATTTAGTAACAGTTTGTTAGTCAATTGTATAACTAAACTCGCCGCTACTAGATTGTGCAAGCAGAAATTTTGATTTTTAATGCGATGTAAATTATGTCATGACAATTCGAATTATTCAAAAAATTTTTTTATTATGAATAATATTATGGAGGTAGGTATTACAAAAATTGTAATTAATAAAGGGATTATCTATTTGGTGATTATTATTATTAATTTGATAGTTTCATATTGATTTAATAATAAATAAATTAAATAGCAATGTATTGTTTTTGTTATTATAAGGTAATGATGAATTTAATATCAGATTATCAGTACCGCCAGAAACGGTTTTACGTTGTTTTTAATATGACGATAAGGAAGTTTCTTGAGGAATTGAATCATCAATGAATCACTACGGTCATAATATTGGTTTCAAATTATTCTAATATAAAGAATTCCAAATTTCATTTACAAGCATTACTTCTCCACCTTCATTAATATGTAAACACTCCTAGGGAATGAAGAGTACTTAAAAAAACAGGAAATGCACACGGAGTTTACATTACCATTTTTTTATGTGAATATGCATTAGGCACGATATATTTCCCTCACGTCTACAAAGAACAACATTCACGGAAAAGACTTAAGCCAAAACGTCAATATTTCTTTTTGCAAGTCGGCTAACAAAACTATTATTTAACAAGCATGGCATTTTGTCGAATGCAATGATTAAAAGTAATTTAGCATCTCAGGAGGCTGTATTAAAACAAAAAACATACCTTTGAAAATAAGTGTTAATCCAAAAAATCGGAACAAATACACCCACTCACAAACAGATCTGAAACAAAACTGAATTTATATTATTTCAATTTCATACTCTAGATGGCGCAGTTTCGGAATAATTAACCGTGGCTCTAACTACAACAACGTTCTTATTACCAACAAATATCATTCAAATAAATTTATAAACTATTTATCCAATAATATTTATTACCATCTATTAGTTATCAATAAAAACTAGTTATAATTAGCATATAATACAACATATTTTATTAAAATTACGATTAAAAATGACTGTTGACATAACAGGTAACGGCCACCATTGACCGTGCGCGGCACCTTAGCCATTTCCTGTCCTAACCTATTTGTGAAAATGAGAGTGGACTGTGATTTAATTTACGTGTTGGTAAATAATTGAGAATTTATGTACTGCTAAAGCGGAAATTCGAAATTTAAGCGAAAATGTCGACGGCGGCTTTGCACCAATTCGTCGGGAATCTGAAATCCCGTCACGAACAAGTGCGAAACAAGGCGGTGAACGATCTCTCCTTGTACGTGAAAAATGAACTCAGAGAAGCCACTGCGGACGAAATCAACAATTTCTTGGACGAATTCAACCATCAGATATTCGAGATGGTGTCGAGTAACGATGTTAACGAGAAGAAAGGGGGTATCTTAGCTATAGGTAAGTACTTTTGTCAACATACGAATCAACGTTACAACATTTTCGTGCGTTTTATTTTAGTGTGTCTTATTGGCACCGATGTGGGGAATATGACTTCGAGAATTAGTAGGTTTGCGAACTACCTTAGAAACCTCGTGCCTTCGCATGATGTCGGCGTGATGGAACTAACAGCTAAAGCTGTGGCCCTGTTAGCTTTCGTTTCGGGCTCAAAAGCGTCCGAATACGTTGAATTCCAAGTCGATAGAGCCTTCGAATGGCTCCAGGAAGACAAAGCCGATGTAAATAATACAAAACCTTTTTATAAATCTTTTTATATATTACTGTTTATTGTAGGGCAAAAGACTGGCTGCTGTACTAATATTAAAAGAATTAGCGATAACAATGCCAACGTATTTCTATCAACAAGTCTCTACGTTCTTCGAGTTAATTACCAACGCTATTCAAGACCCGAAAGTGGTGATTAGAGAAGGAGCTGTCGAGGCACTTAGAGCAGCATTAGTTGTCACTGCTCAAAGAGAAGTGGGAAAAGTTAGTTGGTAAGTACGCTTAAAATGCGTTTGTAGAGGTAATAGGGATGTTTTGCGTGTATTTTCCAGGTACAAACAATGCTACAAAGAATCGGGAACACTTCTGCTTGCCGAAAAAGGAGAGAGAATTAGAGACGAACGCGTTCACGCATTCCTACTCATTCACAACGAATTGATAAGGCTCGCGAACGCCAGCTGGGAGAGAAAATACACGGCTTTGCTGGAAAAAACCGATCCGAAGAGTTCCAACGATCAAGAAAGCTTCTCGTTCAACAGGCCCCTTTCCATGTACCCTACGCCGAACAAAAACGTGAACTATCAAGTTTTGCACGCTCTAACGCCGGAGAAACCGATCATCATCGAATCGCCCGCTTGCCGTCAATTAATCTCCGAGAAATTCGCGTACATTTGCGTCGACGTAATCACGCACAAGTTCAGTCGATACAGTTACGTGCAGCAAACGTTCCTCAACATTTTGCCCAGATTGGCCGCCTTCGACAAGGCCGAGTTCGTCAAGAACCACCTGAGCGGAGTGATGTCTTATTTGTTCAGCATGCTCAAAAGTAGGGAGAAGGAGCGTAATATGGCGTTCATCACCGTCGGTGAGTTCCTACGATTCTCTTACGAATAATAAAGTTAGCTAATTAATATGCTTTTGTACAGGTCTTATTGCTATTGCTGTCGAAGAGGCAATCGAACCGCACGTCGAGAAGATAATGGAACTAGTCAAGGCGGCTTTGCCGAGGAGCGAGATGACGTTGAAGAAACGCGGCACGATCGATCCTTGCGTGTTCAAATGCATCACGTTTTTGGCGTTGTCGTTGAAAAATCACGATAAAATGGATATTCCTAATATTTTAGAGCAAATGTTAGCGACGGGATTGTCATCGTCGCTTACTATTTCGCTGAGAGAGCTCGCGAAGAATGTTCCGGCTCACAAGGTATGTTACAAGTAGCCATCACCGAGTATATTCTATAAATTTCTTTGATTTTTAGGAGAAAATCAGCTTGGGTTTATTGAGAATGCTGTCCCAGATCCTGTTGAACAAACCGCTGATCCACCCAGGTACTCCGAGGCATTTAACGACCAACATACTTTCGATCGGCAGCAGTTCGGATATGTACGATACTCAAATCATAGTGCTCGCCCTTCATACTTTAGGAACGTTCGATTTCGAAGGTATTTCATCGCAGGATTTATTCCCGAACCATTCATATTCAATGCTGTTCTGTTTTTAGGCCAGCGACTCCTACCGTTTGTCCAACGTTGCGCCAATTACTTTTTAATACACGAACAAACCGAAATCAGGCTAGAAGCCGTTCGAACTACCTGCAGGTAAATAGAATTTTACTGTAAAAAAATTAAGACAAAGTAGTTCATTTGACCCTGCCTATTTTGACTATTGTACTCTCCTTTGTAGGCTTCTACGTCATGCTATCAGGAATTCTGCTAAGAACCCTTCCGAAACCGTAACAATAACAGTAGCTTCAGTTTTAAATCGATTGCTGAGCGTGGGTTTGATCGACATGGAGTCTACAGTGCGTAGGGGAGTCTTGATATCTCTAGATCCCACGTTCGACCATCACTTGGCTCAAGCGGAGTCTTTGGGAGCGTTATTTACAGGTAAAATATTACTTAACATATCAACTAGTAATGAATTAAACGTTATGTTCTGTTTGTAGCTCTCCAAGACGAAGTTTTCGAAATTAGAGAAGTAGCTCTGTTCACTATAGGACGCTTGAGCTGCATGAATCCCGCATATATTATGCCTAGTCTAAGAAAAGTATTAGTACAACTATTAACGGAATTGGAGCACTCGGGTATAGGTCGAAATAAGGAGCAAGGCGCTCGGATGCTGGATCATTTGATCGTCAGCGCTCCGAGACTAATTAGACCGTACATGGAACCCATTTTAAAGGTTGTATAATTCTCACTTAAAGTCCGAACATTGTGACTTAGTGTTGTTTCCAGGTGTTAGTTCCTAAGTTAAAAGAACCGGAACCGAATCCCGGAGTGATTCTCTCGGTTTTAATGACAATAGGAGATTTGGCCGAGGTGACGGGCGGGGATTCTGAGCTGCAGCAGTGGATGCACGAGCTGATGCAAATCCTACTCGACATCCTCGGGGATTCGTCTTCTCCGGACAAGCGATCGGCCGCCTTGTGTACTTTGGGCCAATTAGTAGGAGCTACGGGTCACATAGTGAATCCTTACAGTCAATATCCCTTGCTCTTGGACGTGTTGATTAACTTTTTGAAGACTGAACAACAGCCGTCGATTAGGAGAGAAACGATTAGAGTTTTAGGATTACTAGGTAATTTAATTTTGTGTAAACAAACGAACGGTTGTACGATTTTTATATTTTAGGCGCTTTGGATCCTTACAAGCACAAAATTAATCGTGGTCAAATCGATTACCAGCCCGAGGCTCCCATGCTTATAGCCATTACGGATAAAGGTGTGGGGGGCGAAGGAGACGGGGAGTTCGGTTTGAATTCCAGCGAAATGTTGGTCAGCATGAGTTCCCACACGCTCGAAGAATATTATTTAGCCATGGCGATCGCCACTTTAATGAAAATCATCAGAGATCCCGCTCTGTCCCAACATCACACGATGGTCGTGCAAGCCGTTACCTTCACTTTTAAAAGTCTAGGAATCAAATGCGTACCTTATATATCACAAGTAGGTTTATTACGCTAACTTCAACGTTTGGAGAGTACAATTCTTTGTAATGGTTTTTTAGGTGCTTCCGAGTTTACTCAATGTCGTAAGGACGGCCGATGTAAATTTCAGGGAATTCCTGTTTCAACAGCTGGCGCAATTGGTTGCGATCGTTAAGCAGCACATTCGTAATTATTTGGACGACATATGCGATTTGATAAAGGAATTTTGGGTTCCGAACAGTTCGATACAGAGCACCATTATTTTGTTGCTCGAGCATATAGCTGTTGCTTTAGGAGCGGAATTCAAGGTAAGCGATTTTGGTGATTTTTGAACGAGTATATTGATTCTGAATATTTGAAAATTGCGCAGGTTTATCTCCCGAGGCTGATACCGCAGATTTTGAGAGTTTTGAATCACGATACTTCGAAAGACAGACAATACACGTTGAAGTTACTGGAAGCCATGCACAAATTCGGTAATAATTTAGAAGATTACTTGCATCTCATTCTACCGCCTATTGTGAGGTAAATAAATAATTTCGATCGAAAAAACGTTTAATTATCGATTTTTATAATGCATTAATTGAATTATTTTAGGTTATTCGACGCCCCCGATTGCCCGCCCGCAGTTCAAAAGAAAGCTTTAGAAACAATCGACCAACTCGCGGAAATTCTCGATTTTTCCGATTTCATTTCGAGGATTATTCATCCCTTAATGAGAACTATCGATAAGAATAATTCGCCGGAAATTCGAGAAGCGGCCATCGAATGCCTGTGCAATCTAATCATGCAGGTACGGACAACATTAGATAAAACTAGATAAATGACTAAACCTAGGTTTACCCGGATAATAGGATATGATAGGGAAGGTTTCTAGGGTTCCCGTTATGCCACGAGAAAACCTACCCTACCCTACCAGCATTTCGCCCTTTAACTGGGTAAACCTAGGTTTAGTCTATCAAACTTTACCAGTAACCTCATTATCCCACAGTAAATTTGATCATTCTCACTGATCATACTCATTGATGATACTCCGTAAGTTGCTAGATAATTATTAAAACTACTCGTTTTGTAGATGGGACGTAAATTCTGCATATTCGTGCCGATGGTGCAGAAAATCCTGATCAAACACAAAATCCAAAATAGGAAAATCGAGATACTTTTATCGAAGATCCAAACGGAAACGACGATGGCGGACGAAACCGATTTGGGAATTACGCGCAACAAAACGAAGAGAACCAGAGAAGATCCGTCAGTGGCCAACGATTCTTCCATTAGTCAAAGGCTCAAGGTTTCCGTGAAGAATTTACAACAGGCTTGGACGCCCATCAGAAGAGTTTCAAAGGTTTCTTTTTATCCATACACGAATCAAGATTACTAGTCCATATTTATAAAAATGAAGCATTTACTTTGAAGTAAAAGGTAGAAGGAAAAGATAAGAGAAAAAGGTTTTAAAACCATAAAATCTATTGCTTTAAAGCAACAGCAGGGTCCACGATGCAAAACCCCTCTTCCTTCTCTTCTTTTTAAGCATATACCTTTACCTTGAAGCAATTCCTTAATTTTTTGAACCAAAAGGTTATGCTTCTTTTTGTAAATACAGCCTATTGTCTTTGAACAAACATCCTCAAATTCTATACATTATACTGAATCAAATTCCGCTGTTTTCAGGACGATTGGTTGGAATGGCTCCGCTGCCTTAGTCTGGAATTGCTCAGGCAATCTCCCATTCCGGCGCTGCGCTCGTGCCTTCCGCTCGCTCAAACCTACTCGCAACTGTCCAAGGACCTGTTCAACGCGGCCTTCGTCAGTTGCTGGGCCGGTTTGCTCAAGGAAGAGGACAAACAGAAGAGCCTAATGAGCGGCTTGGAGCAGGCCCTTAAGGTGCCCGACGTGCCCGAAATCACGCAGACCATTCTCAACTTGGCCGAATTCATGGAGCATTGCGACAAGGGCCCCCTGCCGTTGGATCCGCATTTGTTAGGCGAGCACGCTATGCATTGCAGGTGAGACTTGTTATATTCAAGCATATCCCCAACCAGTCAATTATAAATTCAAAAATTTTTGACGCCAACATTGAAAATTATCTGTCACTTATTAAGTAAACGAGGCATAAAAAGTATGATAGAAAAATTGAGGTAACATGGCGGATCCAATCAATCGCCTTGAGCGTAGGCAAATATATTTTAAATAAGAATTGTTATGGTAAAAATATAACATTATTTAATATTACCTATGAAAAGTTTTTTGATATTGTATGAAAAAACAGTGACAACTGCTTCCCGGTTTCCCGATATTTGCTATTATTCGCTGGGGAAATGAGATAGATACTGACTCTGATCTCTCTTTAGTCGAAATCGTCTACAAATTTTACTACGAGCTGTAGTACACCGTTGCCAAATTTGTAAGAGTTTATTTATACAGGAAATTTGAAATATATAATTCGTCACATTTTGAAACTATTTCTTAAACTTGCAATTGATTATATGTTGTGGGTGTATTTTGAAGAATGTAAATAACATTAGTTTTTAGTATTAAGACGATTACATAATAAGGATATAAAAATAAAAAACATAGCAGAAGGAAATTGTAAAAAATAGTGCGGCAACATGCAATGTTTTACTTCTATTTTCTGTTAGACTGTGACCTATTGCTGGTACCCTAAAACTTTGTAAACAGTTTCATCTGTTTTAGTTATATATCTATGTTTTCAAATTATCGAATTTGGGTTATTAATGTGTTTTCATTATTTATTTTAGAGCTTACGCTAAGGCGCTGCATTACAAAGAAGAGGAATTCCAGAGGGGAGGCGGGAACAACGATCACGTAGTTGAGTCTCTGATTTCTATTAATAACAAACTGCAACAAAAAGAAGCTGCAGAGGGTCTCCTACAATACGTACTTAGGAAATCCGGGAATGTTCAAGTGAAGGTGGGTTGGTACGAGAAACTTCACAATTGGGATAAGGCTCTCGGGATGTACGAGGAGAAACTGCAAAGCGACGGTTCGGATCAGGAAGCGGTCTTAGGGCAAATGAGGTAAAATTATACACAATTTGATTTTTCGTTCGATATAATTTAATAATTTTAGGTGTATGGAGGCTTTGGGAGAGTGGACGAGCCTCCACGATTTGGTGGAAGAAAAATACAGCATTTTGTCCGACAAGTACAAACAGAAAGCGTGCCGTTTGGCCGCCGCTTCGGCGTTTGGTCTTCACAATTGGTCTTCCATGGAACGATACGTTAAATGCATACCTCAAGATTCCCAAGAAGGTGCTTTCTATAGGTCTATTTTAGCCATACACACGTAAGATTCTCTATTTAAAACCCCCATTCTTTTACATTTAACTATTTTCTTCAACAGCGAACAGTACAGAGTGGCGCAAGATTACATCTACACAGCTCGAGATATGCTAGATAAAGAACTGACAGCAATGGCGGGCGAAAGCTATCAAAGAGCCTACGGGGCCATGGTGCAAGTTCAAATACTCAGCGAGCTCGAAGAGGTAAGTAATCGCTTTGAAAATCTCCCAGTTGCGTTAATTAATTCGTTATAACTAGGTAATGCAATACAAGTTGGTGCCTGAAAGGAGGCCAACGATCAGAGCGCTGTGGTGGCAACGTTTGCAAGCCGGTCAAAGATTAGTCGAAGATTGGCAGAAGATCATTCAGGTTCATTCTCTGGTGCTCGAGCCGCACGAAGACATACACACTTGGTTGAAGTACGCGGCTTTGTGCAGAAAGAACGGATCGATTGTAAGTGATTTTAAGCTGTTTGAAGATTTGTGTATAATCGAGTTTTATAGAGATTGTCCCATAAAACGTTGGTGATGTTGTTGGGGTACGATCCCGAAGAAAATCCACAGTTATCTCTACCCGTAACATCTCCGCACGTTACTTTCGCTTATACTAAACATTTGTGGGCTACGGATCAGAAGCAAAGAGCCTATCAGCAATTGAAGCTGTTTTTGGGCCAGTATACGAGACACGTGGATTCTTGTTTGACCTTGGAAGAAAGACAAGCCCTGTTGGCGAGGTAAAAAAAACATTTTTAGTTGTATAAATTTTTCTTAATCATCATTGCATTTAGGTGTTATTTGAAATTGGGAACGTGGCAGGAATCGTTAGAAGGCATTACGGAAAATTCCGTAACGAAAATTCTGAATTGCTACCAGCAAGCTACCGAGTTCGATAAGGTAAAGAGTTAAATATTATAATTAATAATGTATTAATAACGATATTATAGGATTGGTACAAAGCTTGGCATTCTTGGGCTTACATGAATTTCGAAACGGTGCTCTTCTACAAGAACAAACAAGACGCCGAGAAACTGAAAACAGATAGACCCATCAACGATTGCGAAATGAGCGTAGACCTGAACAAACACACGGTGTTAGCAGTACAAGGATTCTTCAAGTACGCTAAATATTACCTCAATTTCAACTCAAATTACTCATACTACAATCGTTTCAGATCGATTTATCTATCGCAAGGCAGCTCGCTACAAGACACCCTTCGTTTGCTAACCCTATGGTTCGACTACGGGCAATCCACCCAAGTGTCCGAAGCCATATCCGAAGGCATTCGGCTGGTGGAGAAGAACACGTGGCTGCAGGTGATACCGCAGCTGATCGCGCGCATCGACACCAATCGCCTGCTGGTGTCGAAGCTCATCAACGCCCTGCTGGTGGACATCGGAAAGACCCACCCGCAGGCGCTCGTCTATCCCTTGACGGTGGCGACCAAGAGTAACTCGATCGTGCGCAAGAACGCGGCCAATAAGATACTGAAGAGCATGAGCGAGCATTCGCCGACGCTGGTCAGGCAGGCCATGATGGCCTCCGAAGAGCTGATCAGGGTGGCCATTTTGTGGCACGAGATTTGGCACGAGGGGCTCGAGGAAGCTTCGAGGTAATGCGGCTAGTTTAGCGAGCGGTGATTTGAGGTTGGTGACATTTGGAATTTGTTCGCAGGTTGTATTTTGGTGAACGTAACGTGGAAGGTATGTTGCGGATTTTGGAGCCGTTGCATACGATGATGCAAAGAGGACCGGCGACTTTGAAAGAAACTAGTTTCAACCAGGCCTACGGGAGAGATTTGGCTGATGCTTACGAGTGGTGTCAAAGATATAAAGTACGATTATCTATTTTAAAACTGTGATGCAAACTAACAGTAACTACTCGCTTTAGGTATCAGGAAGCATTCGCGATTTAAATCAAGCTTGGGATCTTTACTACCACGTGTTTAGGAGGATATCCAGGCAATTACCTCAGTTGACTTCGCTGGAACTCCAATACGTATCTCCTAATCTACTCGTTTGTAAAGATTTGGAATTGGCTGTGCCTGGTAGTTACGCGCCCGGACAAAGCATCGTCAGAATCGATCACTTTAATCCTTCATTAGAGGTACGTACATCTAAAACTCGTTAAAGTTAAATAATAATTGCTTTATAAAAAACGTTATTTTAGGTGATAACATCCAAACAACGTCCAAGGAAACTGGTAATTCGCGGTAGCAACGGCAAAGACTACATGTTCCTGCTGAAAGGTCACGAAGATCTGAGGCAAGACGAGCGTGTAATGCAGCTTTTTGGTCTAGTTAATACTCTACTCTTGAAAGATCCGGATACTTTCCGTAGGAATTTAACTATACAACGTTATGCTGTCATACCGTTGAGTACAAATTCCGGCCTCATAGGTAAAACTCGTTGATAAACCAAGAATTCATATCCAAAATTTACCGATCAAATTGCGGAATTTTGGATATGATCTGGGCTACTGTAGACACTACAAATTGTGAATTGAATTGAGTATTTGTTGTTTTTTTAGGCTGGGTACCTCACTGTGATACATTACACACACTGATCAGAGATTATAGGGATAAAAAGAAGATACTGTTGAACATCGAGCACCGAATAATGCTGAGAATGGCCGCGGATTATGACCATTTGACTGTTATGCAGAAGGTCGAAGTGTTCGAGCACGCCCTCGAGCACACGCACGGAGACGATTTGGCCAAATTGCTGTGGTTGAAGAGCCCCTCTTCGGAGGTGTGGTTCGATAGAAGAACGAATTATACGAGATCTTTAGCGGTGATGAGCATCGTAGGGTATATCCTAGGATTGGGCGACAGGCATCCAAGCAATCTTATGCTCGATAGGTTCGTATAATCTTGCATAGTTGTGAAACTTGTGTAAATAATTCGTTGTAGATTAAGCGGTAAAATTCTACACATCGATTTCGGAGATTGCTTCGAAGTGGCGATGACTAGGGAGAAATTCCCGGAGAAGATCCCGTTCAGGCTGACGAGAATGCTGATTAACGCCATGGAAGTGACGGGCATCGATGGGACTTACCGAAGAACCTGCGAATCTGTGATGTCTGTGTTGCACCGAAACAAAGACAGCCTGATGGCCGTGTTGGAAGCCTTCGTTTACGATCCGTTACTGAATTGGAGACTGATGGATGCCACATTGAGGAACCGATCGAATGCCGGTGAAATCGGATCGTTTTCTACCGGTAAATTACCTCGATACTTCATTTATTAAATTATCTTCTATATTTTGTTATTTTGTAATAGGTACATCTCAAGATCACGATCCGGTGGAATCCCTCAGCATGACTTTGAATAAAAAAAATCTTTTGTCCGATATTGTGAGCGAAAACTCCCAGCCGGAGGAGGTCAATAAAAAAGCGGTCGCTATTATTAATCGGGTCAGAGATAAATTGACTGGAAACGATTTCAACGTGGAGGAATCTCTTAGCGTCGAAAAGCAAGTCGATCTGCTCATACAGCAAGCCACCAGCAATGAAAACCTCTGTCAATGCTACATCGGTTGGTGTCCATTTTGGTAAAAGTCCACACCTTATGTACATAAATATATTAAAATTTACTCCTTTAATGCACAATGAAAATTACGTGCAATTTTATTTGTACGTTATAAATCGATGGGAGAGATTTATAACGACAGAAATTTGTTTGTATATTTTTTAGGACTAAACGACATATTGTTGATTTCTGTTGGAATAAGTTAGGTTATTACATTAATTAAGCAAATATTAATTATAGGAATTGTAAAAATTTCAAAGTGTTGTAGTTGTATTTTACCGAATTGTTTATGTATAATTTATTTTCTACTGATAAATATATCGAAAACGGCATAAATCGTTTCGTTTCAATTATTTATTAAGCAAATACATAGGTAAATAAAAAACTTTCTGTATCAGAAATGCATTTATTAAAGTGTGTTTTTACGAATTGAATGGGTTTTTAAATGGAACAATACAGCAATGTCACACGTCATTTCAAAATACTTGAACTTACGAACTACTAGAACTAGACCTGGAATGCTTCCTCCTCCTGGGCGGCGGGCTCCTCGAATGGGCCCTACGTCTCGGAGACGGCCTCCGCATCGGTCTGATGGGCGATCTCCTCCGGAATCTCGGCGGAGTCCTCCTGTGCATCGGAGGTCTCCTAGCCGGAGGCGGAGGGGACCGTCTCGGCGGCGGCGGACGCGGTTTCGGTATCAACACGGGAGCGGCAGTGATTTCCTGCCCGTCAATCTGGCCTCCGTCCATGTGTTTCATAGCGTTTTCAGCTTCGTCGGCGGTCGTGTACTCTACGTAACAGTAAAGCCTTCCTAGGTGAGGATGGGTGTGATCTTTGGGGAATTCCACGTGCTTAATGGTACCGTAGGTTCCAAAAATTTCCAAAATATGGTCTTTGTTGACGGTTCTCGTAAGGCGACCGATGTGAATTTTTGTCGGGCGTGGCGTAGGCGATCGACGGCGGCGTTTCCTAGGAGACCTGGATCTAGACAAAGGTAAAATTAAATAGATTTATTTACTTTAATACTAAGAAAAATTTTGTACCTTGATCGATTACGAACATGATTTTTATCCTTGTCCTTGTCTTTATCCTTGCTGGGAGTCAGTGCCTTCCTGTCACGTTCCTTATCTTTCTCTTCCTTTTTGGAATCCAATTTGTCCTTGTCCCTATCTTTTATATCCTTCTTCTCTTTGTCCTTATCCTTATCTTTCACATCTTTACTCTTGCTCGACCGTTTAGACACCGATGTAGATCTGTACAAACACAAATATTTCATGTAGAACTCAATAACACTAACCTAGTAATCCTTTTAAAATTATATTTTCTATTTACCTTCTTTTTGGCCTGGTTCTCTCCTTACCGCTGCTGGACGAAGACGAATCCGAGGAAGAGCTGCTTGATCTCGAGCTGGATCCAGAACTGGAAGAACTGGAAGATCTTGAGCTAGACGAACTGCTGTCGGAAGAACTAAAAGTTGGTTTTTGTTTTTTGAATATTTTAGAAATAACTCGTGAGTTGAAAGTACTACGAGATGAAATACCTGCTCTTACTACTGCTGCTACTTCCCGAAGCAGACCGCTTCTTTTTGTCCCTGCCTCTATCCTTCTTCTTCTCCTTGTCTGATTCGGAATCGGTGTCAGGCTTGGCCCTAAAATTCGGAATTTAGTATTTTGAAAATGCTTGGTTAAACTGTTAGTTTTCCTGGAATTTAGGTAAAAGCACAACTCATTGGTGCACATAATATTAATTGTTTATAAACTAATTGAAATCTGAAGTGTAAAACAATTTATATATTAACTATTTCATTTCATGCATCATGATTGTTGAGGTTAGTAGAAATCAATTATTAAATAATTGCCTTTGCTGCGTAAACACAACATTCTATTAATTATTAAACGAATTATTGCAATCAATACTTACATTATCTTCGAATCCCTTTTCCTATGTTTACCGTTTTATTTTATAATATTAATAAATAGAACTACCAGGGAGACAAATTATAACAATCTTTTGGATTATTGTAAATTGTCAACTGTCATTTGTCATCAGTGTCATTTATTAGCGTCTCAGTTTCTTCTTCTTATTACTTTCTAATTATGTGTATGCAGCTACTATTGAAATATTAATTTCCAATTGTTATTGCAAAGCAGAAAATACATAATTGTTCGTCGTTGCTTTAACAATAAATAATTATAAGGCAATTATTCCTATTAATAATATAAATTAAAAGTTACTAATAATCGAGTGACATTATAGACAGGTGACATTGACATAAGTGCTACCATCTTCTGTCAATATTTGGAAGGTTGTTGAAAGTTGGGCGAGTGGGCCCCAGATTTTCCTCGATACTTCCTAAATTTATTATTTTTTACGGAATAAAGTGCTTTAAAGTGCGAGTTGTTCGGGTAAATCCCTCGAATTTAAATATTTTCGTCGATTTACACTTGATGACATTCTTTTAAAGTGCCATTTGTCGTGCCAGAGCAGTCTACTTATGCAATATTTGGTGAGTACATTACAATTTTGAAGGTTATTTTGAAATTTAACGTGTGTGGTGTATTGGTATTCTCTACTTTCTACTCGTTATTTAGTGGGCTTTCGATCCCCTTTACCTGATTTTCCTACAATGCTGTTAAAATTTAGAATTAGCTGTTGTTTATTTATAAACAATTGAACTATTTAAAGGTTACTTTGACACTAAAAGAAATATCGATTTTTATTATTTACAAATATTATTTAATTACATGATACTAAAATAATGTCAGGCCAAGGGCTAGTTAACATTAATACCTACATTTTTTTACTATTGACACACACTGTGCAAGGCAGATATGGACTTGGACAAGGACGTGTCTTTTCATATCTACAATATTTTTTTTCAAAACATTAAAATTTCTCGAATGCCTAAATAATATTTGCGAAAGGTAATTAGTTACTAACTAGCTATCATTCGGAATTGAACGTTTTTTTTTGTGTTTCGTAAATTATCGTTACAAATAGAAATATTTTCCAAACAGCAAACAATATTTTGTTATTTTCGAGATTTTTGCCAGGCCAGATCATTCGCAAATTAATTTCCTGTTCAACGTTTATAGTACGTTGAACGTCGCAAAAGTCCCCTTCACCGGGCGGGTAAACAAGTCCTCGATAAGCGATTTTTTCAAGAATTATTACTATTAGCAAATAACTGTAACAACTCAACTTATTGTGAGTCAATAAAATACATTCGACTAGAATTTGATTGTCATTCCGCTCGGGTGAATCACAATCAATAATCCGGTGCATTTAAAACGTAAAAACGTCCCTACATTATACACGGAATTTCGTTGGAACTTCCAGAACTAGCCCGTTGGGGATATATTCTTTCGAAATGTCCAAGAATCGTTCCGTTTGGAAGTTAGAAAGTCCACGAAGCGCTCCTACATCATAATATGCAAGTACCCACGGTTGTTACTTGAAAGAACGAAACCTTACATTCACTCGAACCTACATTTTGATATTATGCTTTATTAAAGCGATAATCAGGGTCGGATTTTGCACAATGCTGTCTACACCTTTTCCATTAATGCAAAGTTTATGCAAATCTCCATAAGGGTCACAAAGACACGAAGCGGCAAAAATTCAGTCACTTTGTATATAAGTAACTGTTACATAGTCCACATCTCTATTTTTATACCAAATGTCAATAAATCAACTGTCATTTTTGACAACATTTGGATATGTCTAGTCAACCTAAATTTGGTGGTGTGTACTCGACCAATGTCTCGTATTTAAACTTGCTATAGTGTATAAATAAATTTTATTATACAAAGAATTTCGAAAATGCACAATATTTTTTGTTTGCGCTCGACGATTTTCGCAGTAATTGTTCTATTATTGAGGAAGTGGTACGATAAAAATAGGTGGGCAGGCCGTTTAATGTCACATTGAATTACATACGAGTCGGTCTGGATATACAACAGACTCCGTGGTGTTCGGTTATATAAAAATAATTATTATTCAAGGCAATCAACGCCATTTGAATTTTACAAAACGCCGCACTCTTTGCCCGGTCTCGGGCGAAATCGTTCGAGCGCTCTTTGTTTCTTTTTCGTCAACGGGAATTCGAAGCGTGTTTAAAAATAATCCGTTGCTTCGAAAAAAGGAACAGAAATTTAATGCCTATTGTTTTCCATTATCCCGTTTTCTATTTCTTTTACATTTTTATGCATAAATAACTGTTAAATTATAACGTATATATGGTAAGCCACCTCTACTCCAAATAATTTGTTCCCATCTTTATACTAAACGTCACCGATTGAACTGTCAAATGAAAAGTTTTGACCAGTAAAGGGACGTGTCTAGCAAAATTTAGCGGTGTATGCTCAACCAAAAGGACGTCATACGATCATAAAGTTTTAGAGGTGTATTTTAACGTAGAACCGTAAATGGTTCACATACCTCTATATTCTTTCTACAAACTAAGTTTCAATTACAAGTTAGTTGTCGGGTGTAATTTCCCGTAGGCGAGAAACACTTTGGCAATGTATTATCTGGAATAGTTTATCCCTTATCTGACGCCACCGGGCATATTTCACCCGAAAGTTAACTAAAATTATAAACCCGGTTTTGTGCCAATTTCATCTCGTATCATTTTTTTAAAACGATTTGTTTTTTATTTCCAGATTAAAATAGCTTGGCCGGCGAGTATCGGAGGTAAGTTTGCACTTGAATATATTTTACTGGTTTATTTCTAATAATGTCAATATATTAACCAACTTTACGTTTATATCTGTAAAGTTTTATCTATTGGTGTTATAATTGGAAATTAGTTTATGTTTTAAAGCAACACTACATATTTTATCGTGCGTTTTATAGATATATGTAATGAGTTTTTAATTAGGTGTATAATAAAAATTTAGTGTTTCGGAACCCGCCGCTGTCTATTATGTGTACGTAACGTATGTATTGCAATAGTCGATTTTATTAATACGATACTCCGATGTTCGGAGGTAATTGAGGTTTTGAGGACAGCACAAGAGTAGGTGTAAGGTATAATATAATTTTATCTGGAAAATAATTTGTTACGTTTATTTGCTACCGTAATGAATTAAAAGAGGAAACAATGCCAAGGTGACGGGTACACCAAAATTGGGTCCGCGCTTATTATAATTATTGCATTTACTTTTTAATAGCCCGTCTAAACGCCAATAAAAACGTCTCGTTTAGCACATACACGAATTGATAATGGATTAATGGCGTCTCGAAGTTATTAATTGCGTATAGGCGTGAAAATGATTTAAACGTATAAGATATACGGGTAAGTGTAAATTTGTTGACAATTCTAGAGATTACCTACTTAGAGTCACTCTTTCTTCTTTTGTTGCAACTATTGTCGGTGCAAAACAAATATCAAAACAAAATACTGTCGTCATACTTGCCAAGCATTGTGACCAACTTTTAAAAATAAATACACAAAATAGATTAAGCTTAATACCTGCAGAATTTAATTTAATATTAACAAGGCATGATAGAAAAAAATGTTAAAAAGCAGAATTAAATCATCCAAAAAATACATATTGTCAAAATTCAACGTTTGTAGATAAAATTATTGTTATTTTCTTATAGTAAGTTGGTAGACACTGACTGTCGAGTTGCATAGTTGTCGTCATCCGATCGGTACTTTTAATTTTCAATTTCTTCTTTTTTTCTAGTTTACTAGCATCAACTACTAAAATCTATTCAGCCTAATAATCAAGAAATAAGAATTTTTGGAGTAGTTATCTTCTCCACATGTTAGAAATGACACAATTTGAGCTCTAAATAATTCAGATTCATATAAGTTTTCTCAGAAATTTCACTATGTACTATTTTAAGGGTCAATTGTAGGTACACTAATTTTTTTACTCATACTGTTAAATATATTTCAGATGATAAAGGAATTTAATGATTAATTATAGTGAGTACCTAAATATGTCCGCCGTTTAGAAAAGTGAAACAGGTACCCCTATTTTCAATTTGTTCTCGTCATTTTGCCATTTGACAATTTTTGAAAATTCTTTAATTTTCTAAACTCTATAAAAGTTCGGCAACACAGCCTACTTCTGACGTACTAAATTATAGTTGACGTGCATTGATATTTGTTTTGCACCAACTGTTTATTGCGTACAAATTTGCACTTATCTGTATACAGGAATAAGTAACAAAATGTAGTCGTTTTCAATAATCGAATTGTAGATACCCTGTATGATTATTCAGTGTCAAACGAACGTCTCTATACGCGAGGAGACATCCTGTATGGTAGAGGTAAGAGTAGAGATCGTCGGTCGAGATTTCGTTTCTCGCATATACGATATGCCCTCCATATAGTCGAACGAGAGCGCTCACATACAACAGACAAAGGGTGGCGGCCCTGCCTTTTCAGCTTTCCGAACCCGCCCCCCTGAGAGCTGTCCTCGCAATAAGGTTACCGACCACTACGCCTGCGTTAATGGGTTTTCAGCTTCCCACGTTCCGCACGGTATCGCCGATATGCTCTGCCCTGCCGCACGAAATTCCGAATGAAAATCGAGGAAATTAAAATGCGGTCGCGTTCGTTTGATATTTTTCGGATTTCGTCGCGAGTTGATTTTGGGGAAATTTGTATTTTGCATATCGAATGGCCGGCGAAATTCGTTGACAAGTAGAGAATGATTTATTATGAATGTTTGTGGGTAAAAGTGGGGCGTCTAGTTGAGAGATGGAATGATGAATTCGATATTGTAAAACGACAAATTTTGGCTATGAGTTGAGAATCTCACGATGTAATGCGGAATATTTCAAGAACTTCTATTCTAATTAAATCTTGCATTCATTTTCAAGTAATTGTCCTGAATATTTGTATAATGAACAAACTAATGGTTGAACTTATATTTATTTTAAATAAAGAGACTACAATGATTATGCACTTTTTTATGATTATGTAATTTTTGCCAGAAGTACCCCGAATTCCCTATTTACAAGGCCTTTCATCTAAATTACTGTCTAAACACATAATATACATAACTAGAAAATATAACTAGATTCTTGAATTTATATTAAATTGCGGCGTAAATAGCGCTATTGTGATTAGTGATTATATTATCAATAATTCAAGATATTTATGAGAATTTCGACGTTGGTTTTAAAGCAGGGGAAAAATATGAATGATCGTACTTGAACGTGGGAGCAATCAATCGATTTCTCATTATTTCAATCGGCCTTCGCACGTGGTTATTAAATCTAAATTAAATCCAAAAAAATAGGTTGTAGGACCCATATATTTTATGTCGAGATTTATACAGGGTTCCAATAAGGATGGCGACCGGAGATATCTTGTACACCCTGTACAAACGTCGCCCTAAAATTTTAGATTTTTTTTAGATACTTGATGTTTCGTTATTGGTTTAGAGTTAGGGTGTTGAAAATTATATGTTTATGGTTTGGTAAATTTGAAAAATTGGTGGAATATTGGGCGCAGAATCCCCGGAAAATGATCGAAAATAATTCTTTTTATGAATTTTTATTTACGGCAAAGTATTTTCTTAGCACATTGATTCTCTTTCACTGCACTGATTTAAAAAAAATCAAAAATTTGCTAGTTCCAAATTTGCAATGAACCCAAATAATCCCCTTTTCTATCTACCTGAAGTAGATAGAATCCTTATGCCCAATTTATCTATAGGATTAAAATACCCTTTTCTGCTGTCAGGTAATTTATTACTTCTGCCCCCCCAATTTATCACCGGTTTCGTCATCGAATAACCCTCAGTTTGTCTCAGAAAATCGAGTTGTCTTTAACACGTTGAATGCCACATTTTTTTGACATCTTATAATGACCATGGGCGTTCGTTTTTGACAAATTTTTCGAAAACGGTCGATCCGAAAATGCGGCAGCACGGCTGAATTCTCGATGGCGATCACCCAAATCGTCCCCGATTCGCTCCGGTTCCCCACGAACGCGAACGTTTTCCATTATTCGAACGCTCGGAGCGGGGAGAAGTCCTTCCATTCGATTTCATTATACAAAATTTCAGTTCGCTGCGAAACGGTGCGGAGTACGTTTCGTTTCGCTCGATACCCGACAACATCCACATTTCCCCTTTTTTTTATTATTATTATTATCATCGATAAACAATTTTATCAGCGCATTTTCCGATAAGGATCGCAACGACTACGCAAACCATCGGCCACTAGGATGACAATTGGATTGTGTTTGTGTGATAAGTTTGCCGTTTGGAGAAATTTTTCGGTTATTTTGTAATCATTTTTTTCGGGTTTAATCATTTTTTCGAAACTGAAAGTGCTGGATTCCCCAAACTTGGATTACCTACTCAAAATGGCCCTAGCAAGGTAAGACGTTTGCTAATCGTTTTATAAATAGATCACGAAGGTGAGAGTATCTATTTTTTTGTATAAACAATTTTTACCAATTTTCGCGTGTTATGTATAACATAATATATTTTTTTTCTAAAGCCTTATCGCTGTTTATACGTTCTGCGGCGTGTCTTCGGTTAAGTACATTGTCTTGCGGTGTGTGTATGTGCCGGGGCCGATGGACTCCCGGAGTGCCCAAGGTCTCGGTCAACGTCCGGAAATGGACTACGAATGCACATTTTTTCGCCGCCACTCTCGTGGAAATGGAAAGGAAAACGTACAATCCGCCCTCGCCAGAACGCTATTTTTTCGCGGAAAACGCGCTAATTGGGGGGATCGAATTGGAAGATCGAACGCGGATCGGTCGGGCGTGCGGTGTGTTTGTTTTTTTTTTAAAGCACGTGTACTGTTATTCCGTTGCGGCACGGCGACGGGACGCGGACGTCGTCGGATAAGGTTGTTGGCATCGCCTGGGTTACATTTCCTCAAAGTCTCCTCTGCGCTACGCGGCTTCTTCGTCGGAATTATGTAGTTCTTTTTTATCGTCGTCGTTGCTCGAGTAAATGGCCGTGCCTAGTGTTGGTTTTTTTTTTGGCGTTTTATTTGTAATAGCTCTCGACTCCATGAGACAGTTCAATGTGCTATGATTAGATGATAATACAAGAGACCTTTGTTTCTCTCGCCGATCCGAACGGATGCAGTCTATGATACTAGGAGTTGCGTTGCTATAGAGGAGAAAATGGCGAGCCGCTTTGATATACGAACGTAAATTTTAGCTCTATCAATGAATAAATTAAAAAAATGCCCGGTGTCGAAGTCCGCGTAAGTTTTTTTTATTATCTGGTAATTTAAAAAAATATTCCTGTACGATGCGAATACGATGATTTCTTAATAGATTCGTTGATTTTGTCCTTTTCGAATGCATCATTCCAAATTTACCCAAATGTAAACAAAACATTATTGTAATAAAATTGTATTGTTGCATTAATGTATGCTAAATATTGCCCAATTCTATACTATTTACGAAATTCATTCATTCAATATCCAAAATCATGAAATTGTATTGCTTGAACCGAAGATGCGCTTACTTCACTTTATATTTACTCTTTTCTATATAAACTTAATATCTTTTGGCGATAAAATGTTTACATCAGGGAAATTTGTATATCAAAAAATATTTATTATTACTCAAATATGTATGAAAAACTCTCTCATCTGCTCTGATTATAAAATAGTTGTTTTATCCATTATTGTTTGGCTGGGGGTGAATTTATCAAAACACAAACACATTTATCGGTTAGATAATAATGCTAATTGAATAGGGTGCCTAGATTTTTGAGAAATTTATCAGTTAGAAGCTCACCTAAATTCGGGAAATGAAAAATGTGAAAAATATTTTATCTTATAGATAGTGCAAATATACCTAATTAGATACATATTTATATCTACCCCATTGCAATATATGATAAATCTATCACTATAATAATCATCCTTTATGTTTACACGTCTATTATTTATCATTAATTTCAATCAAATCAGTCAATTTGAAAAGTTTTTCAATTATCACAAATTTTGTGTTTGCTTAATTTGTTTCTGCTTAACGACGAAATTTTCTGTGTATATACTGAGAAAATTTAGGTGCGAAAAATAATAAGTGCAATTTTGTTATTTCCGTTGTAATACAATCGGTATTTTGTTTTCGAGTTGTTTGATTATCGGTATATCTGCTCTTCCTTTTGTTTTTTTCCTACTAATTTTACGCTAATTATTGTCAAACGCTCGCTTATTACGAACCTCAAGTGTTTGCAAAATTAATTTTTTTGCGGTCGATTTTGTTGTTAACAGAAAATGAAAACGCGCGAAAATATCGATGATAAACTGGAGCAGTTCATAATAGTGCTTTAGAAACTGCTTTACTACCACTTATAATAAATTGTGTTTCTCTTTGATTTCTCTTTATTGTAATATGAATTGAATTAACTACGTGATCACTTTTGACAATGAAAAGAATTCAAATAAATATATCATATTACTTACGCCCGTATATGCCCAATGATTCATTGTAGTCCACGTTTTTGACCCGAGTGTACATAATAAAATAGGTAAAATTTCAATGGAACTGTTCAAATATTTGTACGAGCCGTATGATTAGTACGGCGTTAAACGTGTTGAAAGTAATAATATTTTAAAAATTGCTGTAAAATTGGATACAATGTACATAAATAGTATATGAGATGCAACGTCGAACGAATTATCACTAAAACTTGTAAACATGCATTATTTTTGTTTATTTTTAAACGTTTTTATCTATAAAATGTAACTTATCACACAGCACAACGGCGAAACGATTTGACACTGTTGACATTATCAAGGTTGCGCTAATCGTAATTCCCTATACTTGATTATTTAAAATACCTACAAATTATAAACTTGTGCTTTTTTTTCCTCACGATCAAGGCTAGTTGAGTATCCTCTATATTAACCATTTACCCTTGGAAACCGTTATTATTTCGCTCGCAAGGTCAAGTGAATTTGGTATTGAAATTTATGATATTATTACCTGGCGAAGAGGTAAATAAAATCGTTTACAACCTACATGTGTGCACGTTAAAAATGGGCAAAAACGAATCTACGAGATTCGGTTCGATACGAAACACACGCCCCCTTAAAACTCGCATATACAAGGCGATTCACTCTAAAACACCATTGAATTATACACCAAGGTTTTCTTTATAAAACAATGAATTCTTGAGTGGGTTATTCGGAATTAGTCAAATCCTCGTTGGTTTTTGTAATACATTGCTTAGAGATGAACGAATCATCCTATATTCAGTGTGTCCCGTGGACGAGAGGAAACATCGTTCATCAACTCCATCCAGGGACACACTGTATGTGCGTTGAAATTTTCGAATGCCTATGTATACCTGGTTGCGACTCGCAGGTATACCTACTCGTTCTATATCGTTATACGTATAAACCTTTGTTCGGCCTACCTGTAACTTTGTAAGGTTGTGAGGGTTGGTCGACGCGGCTTTTTTTTATCGAAAGGAGCATTTTTAATGGCGCTCGACCTTTGATAGGTACTCGCGTACTTGGTCGTTTTGTTCGAGTCGTTGTGGTGCAGTTTCTAAATGTCGGTGAAAGCGCAAGGTTAAATTAAAAAGTAGATACTTTCGTCTTTGGGTCTAAGTTTTAAATAACGTTCTTTGTTTTCTCGCATTCGAGCCGAGTCGAGTCGAAGAAATATCGCGAACGGCGCGTGAAAATAAAACGATCACTTTATGTTCTTATTTTCTTTCTACACTAATCCATGTGCAGTATAAACATAATTCCACTCTAGTATCGAAATTAATTTCTCGGTATCGAGTGTATTACCCACTTGATTAACGGATTTCGTTACATTGTATTTATCTCGCTTTATGTCTAATCGAATCTTGCATCTTCGTGTACTTGCACACGCACTTTATTAAGTGCTCGACTCGATAGAAAAATCCGCAATCAATTAATCGCTTCTCGGCATCTCTTCTCCCTACGTACTTCGTTCATTGTGATTCAAATGCTCAATTCCCCTTTTCATCGCCCAACGAACTTTTCCTCCCTATACATTTTCCCCCGTGCATTCTCACACCCCTGCGGGCTCCACTGTACCTGAAACGAAATATTTAAATTACAAACAATACCCGGCGTTTTCGAAAACCGACAAATGTTTTGTTGCGAAACATTGTTGTGTCAATTTGTAAAAGAAAACTCTAAACTTTGGGTAAACTTTGATTTGTAATTTGGGGTATTTTATACGATCATAAATATAATAGAAATGCGGTAATAGATGGTTAAATAACAGTTTTCTCTCGTTACATCGATGCATAGTTTACGTGTGGCTAACAAACGAAACTGGGCAATTAAAAAAAACTGTTGGAATTAAGCGAGGAATAAAATTTTTCATCGACCCTGAATCGAATAAACCTATCGTATTAGAGATAATGGCCGTCCGACCTTCGTCGTCCAAAAGTACGTACGTACACGTAACTTTTTGCTATAGTTTTAATGTAACAGCATTGCTTAATTTCGTACATATGTAAGTCGTACGAGGAGCGCGCCGTAATTAATGCGCCGCGCGGTGGGAAAACTGGTAGAGGTCTCGAAAGACGGTCCACCCCACAATAATGGTATGAGCGCTTCCCATGGATTCGTTTCGTGGTAACTTTCAATTTCGAAGGGAGAAAATCGGATTCCATCTGGTGCCCGGCACAACTGTTATGCCGTCTTGTAAATTTTGTGGGAGACCGAGGGAATTTTCTGTGGGTTGTCATCAGTCATGTGTCCGCGTACCCGATATAATAGCCAATTGACGTTTTCTAATAATATGCTGTTTCGACACGAATAGGTATACTGTTTGATGAGTAGAAACTACTGGTTTCTTTTTATTTTTTACCGCCTGTCTTGAGGTCTTGATGATTAAAAGGGTTCAGCTGTACAGTGTACTTTTTTTTGTCGTTGTATATGCTATAGGTGCAATTAATTAGGTAATTATTTTCGTCGTTAATAACCTTTATCGAGCCTAATCAATTTGCAACATTAATAATGTTGTTGAATTTCGACTTTAATCGATAATATTTGTACGAAAATAATTTGTTGCGCAAGTTTGGCGGATTGTACTCAAAAATTTCGTTTTTATTTTCTCTCTCTCCATTCGCGATACGGAAATAACGGGTGATCCTTGTATCGGGCGATTTATTTTACCGATTACAGTCGTTAGCTGTTTTATTGGAGTTGGCAACGGTTTGCCGAATATTTCGACCTCTATTTGAAGCCTTTAATCAGCAAGGACGACTCTATTATAAAATCGCTGTTATTCCTAATGCTCTCGGTCGTTTTTTTTAAGTACGCACACGCGTATTTATTCGTTTAATTAATTTCGCATTACCTTCGAAATATACACAAATTTCCTTGTAGGAGGATTGAATCGTTCAAATATAATATACTCTTTCCAAAGTCAATTGAATATACTTCTATATTTCTTTTATTTACAGCAACTTTGAATTAATAGTTTCAAACCGCATTCAATTGGCTATAGAAACTCTATTTATTTTTTTCTCAAAATATAATGATTTACGTCAAAATCTAATATCTGTACAGCCATCATTTTAACGAGTAAGGGCAAAATTTAATGCCCTCATTTAAAGTTTTCGGGGCTACTCCAGGGTCCGAACTGTATAAGAACTTTAAATTGCAGGGGTGAGTTGTATTGTAGACCTCAACCCTTAAAACTAGGCCCCTCTTTGTGATGCATTCGAACAGGGGAGAGTGTACTTATCGAAATTATTAGGCTTGTTGAGTTATTTTCTTAATGACTGAGAGATCCTTTGTAGAAAACGATAATAGGTTTTGTTTGGAAAATTGTGTTAATTTCGAATTGGGCGTGTTGAATAAATTTAATTTACAATCTAACATAAACGTGCGTTTCGAGCGTCTCTGCTCATTAACGTACAATTTGTGTAATTAATTTAAAAAATTTTTAACGCATTTTAATAATATCCACTTATGGGCCTGCACTACTTACGATAGTCGAACGATGGCAAGAAAGCCATCTCGCTGCTTATGGTTACGATCTCGGATGTCGTCCGAAATGGTCAATAAGCAGATATGTTTCATAAATTTCCGAGCCAGATATGAATCAAGAGAATATAACACTCTCGACGCCTGTCGAGAGTAATGCCCACAGACGAGGAATTAATTGGATCAACGTAATTTTATTTTCAGCCTCGCGAAATTGTGCTATGTATTTAGATTTGTCGAACGCAATTCGACGTTGCCCTCGAAAAAAAATATACTTGTACTCGAGCGGTTGAATTTTTTTTTCAAAACTTGGCAATCATTCTGTTGGTGACACTGGTTTTTCGTTTAGTGAGGTCTTTTCAATTTGGACGTTAGGTACTTGACTTAAGTAGATAATTGATTCTATTAAATGATTTTTTTGAGACGTCCTATAGAAATTCAATGGATACGAGGGGACGTCGCGATGTAATTCGAACGGTTTATTGGCCGGTTATAAGGAAAAAAATTTCGAATACCGCACGCAATCATTACACCATTAATATCGCAGCCGATTTCAGCGGTATTACGTGAATCTAATTCAGTGTATTATTTTTAGAAATTGCGCGGGAGAGAAAGTTTCCGAACACTTCGAAAGTACCTTTTGCGAACGGAATCGATTTCCTCGAATTTCTCCCTCAAACCGAGAGGCGAGCGACGTCGAAACGCGAAACTCGGAACTCTCAAGACCTCGTTAATTTCACAGATTGCATCGAATCGAAGCGTTTTCTACAAAATTACATTACAAACTACAGATACTATTTAATGATTGTGTAGCTACTTTTTTTTTTTATTTCTTCGCGCGGCGTTTTCTCTCTTTGTTATCGGATTATCGGGTCTCCGAACGCCCGCGCGCGTTCCATCGGAATCGTTTTCTATTTCGATGATCTTTCGCGAAGCGAAATTTTTCATCGGCTTGTTTGTTGCTCAATCGGGGATATCGGGCCTACCTATTCGGGTTTGGATCTATTCAATGTTGAAATAATGCTTTTACATAAGATTACTATGCGATTGTGAATAATGCAATTTTAAATATACAGGGTGTTTCTAAATGTTAAGTACACCCGGAAGGGACTGAATCGTTGACAAAATATATCACTAAAATATCACATTAATTATCAAAAACAGCCTGTAATATTTAAGATCACCTAAGCTTATTTAGAAATTTAAATAACACTGAATATTTTTCTCGATATGAACTTGACACGAGTATCTATATTATAGAACTTTGATGTGGAATTTTTGTTGCAATTACGCCAAGTCTATATCAAAACCCGTGGAACCTCGTAGATATGAAAATTTGGTCATGCGCTAATGAATAATTGCAATTATAACCATTTTCCGCGACCTTCTATCGAGCGATAGAATCGAACTGTAACGTACGTGTTTTCGAAATATTAATTGGATGAGATAATCGACGAAAATTCCCTATCCTTAATAAATCGAATTATCGCGGAATTTTTTCCACGTGTAACGGCCGACGGGATGTTTCGATTTCCACGCGACGCCGCGACCTCAGACCGAAATGTAATAATAAATACATTGTGTAAACAGTTCACTTGCTTTTAGCGTTTTTATCTCTCGCGAAACCTTGCGCTTTTTTATCTATTACACATCAGATACGCGCTGCGGTGTGTGCGTATGTGTTATTTTTTTTTATTTCGGTTTAAACGCCTGAAAATTCTATCATAAGTAATCATTATTGTCGAACCGAAGGACGGCCCGAAACCAAAAATAACCGATACGAGCCTGTAATCGTGTAGGTACGCAAAGTTTAGTATCTGTTAGTTTCGTCCTTGTCACGTGTTCCATCTCATTGTAGAAAAAAATAAATACATACACATGGTATGGTACACGCTATAGCTCGCAATACCGATAAGTAAAAGGTAGTTGGTTAGTGTCTTTTTTTTTTCGCTCTCGCCGATCGCGGTATAGAAAACGTTGAAAATCACGTGTTTGCGGGGAATAAGATTCGCGATCGTGTATGAGTAAGTAGAATGAAACTGGGGCCCGTTCATGTAAGGGATTATTCGTCGCTTTTGATAGTTTAGTTACGTTAGCAAATCCTGTTTGTTGCCTTTTTATTCGCTTGGAAAAAAAACTGTTATATCAGATGGAAAACGTGGCGGTGCACATGTTCGGTTTTAATAGCATTAAATTCATAAATAGAACGTCAGTCTATTATATCATGCATTTTTATTATCTGTATTAAGTTATTAGGTGTTTATATTTTTTTATAAGTATCTATTTCCATTCCGATTGTGTGCTAATTTTCTGTAAGTGTCGTTAGTATTTTTATCCTCTATTACTTTTTATATAACGCACTACGGGACAAAATATTTCGAAAAGCTCTAAATTCTCTGTCGTGCAAAGCCTTATTCTGTCGTGCACACTTTCTATAGCGTATGTTCCATTCGTTATCATAACGTCTTTATGTCCGGTCCAAAATGGAAATTGATTTATTCCAAATGCGTGCTTTAAGATATCAATTTGCTTCTTTTTTTTTGTTCGTCTGCGATCATAAAAAGCAGACTCTACCACGTTACATATTAATAAATTCAAATTTATTGGTGACCGGAATATGTAATTGTACTACCTAAGGATTCGAACAATAAACATGGTACCGTTCAATAAATTAAAAAAAATACATACATCCGACGTGGGCCTATCTAGATCTCCGATAATTCGTTTCGTACTTTTGTTGCTCTGAATGTTTGTGAAATTGTTTTGTTATTGTTTGTCGGAAAGAAAGTAGGCTGCATTTAACATTCAATTTAATCCATAAATTCGAAATTGGTGTTTTCACGTTGTTATATGCGTTAAATTATTCGGATATGTAGAATTTTCTTAATATGTATGTGGCACTGAGAAATCTCGATGGAATTAAGAGGAATTGGGTCGTAAAGATAATGGTCCTGTAAGGGAGTAGAAAAATTATGTTTTCTTGTTTTAAAAAGAGCGGTTAGCTGATACAAATGTTTTGCTATTAAAATCTAATATTTATTGAGCGAGTGCAGTTGGCAACGACCCTAATGGGGTTTATAAATCTAACGTTTCGGTGCATAAATTACAATCGTCAATTGCAGTGATGAAATTATTCATAATCCACTTAAAAATTTGTAGCAACCAACTAATAAAAATCCTTGTTTGCCAACTAATAATTATTTTGTGAATTTTTCTACGGATTATTGGATTGTTTTGTGAATCCTGCGGGGCTTATGAATGATGTAAATTCATTTGTATCACCTACAACAGACCCAATCTGCGCGAGAAAAACGTAAAGGATTAGGCTTATTGCACCCGATTTCGCCCGAGAGATGAAAAATTCCGCGTCGGGAACGCAGGTGTTCGCACCGAAAATCGTAAATTAATTTTTACCTGTCCCGTAAGATTTTTCGAGCTCTCTCTCCTCTCCCTGGCTCAGTTTCTTTTTTTTTATTTTCTTCTTCTCGCTACCTGCACGTTCGACAAAACAGTCCAAACTCACCAACCGCTTATATTCTCGTTCATCCAGTCGCAGTCAGTTCGTTGTTCCATCGTTATGTTCACCACTGTATCGTTTTAGGGGTGGCTAAACTAAACGTCCGGTGCGTGTACGGGTGCGTGAAAACGTTTTAAATAAATGGACATATTGCAACCAGTCAAAGATTGAAATTATGATCCCGCATCGCCAAAAAGTTGTCATGGACCAACTAGTGACGTCAATGACGTCAGGCGTTACTTGGGATAGCATTTTCGAGATTATGTATAAGGCTCGGTAAGTTTGATTTATTTTTATTTTATTTTATTTTTTATACTGTTTTCTCTAATTAACGTTTTCGTCAGCAAGTGTTGTGTTGCTTTATTTTTTTTTTAATTCTCATGAATTGATTGTTGTTGGTTGATATATTGATATAATTCGATTATAATGTGTTAATTTTAAATGTTCATAATGTTATATTTTTCCATTGGTTGTTGTTACGATGTTTTATTATTTATACAGAGTGTCATTCAAAGGGATTTTTTCACGCCTTGTTTATGGGTAAATTTTGAGAGTACCTCTTTTTACAAGTAAAATTCACATGCCAATGCATTTTATATGGGCCATTTTTTAACATCGTAAGAGCAGCTTATAGCCTATTTATAGCGTTCGTACACCCTATTTTACAGCTTGGTATTTCACAAAATAAGCCGAGCTTGTAGTAGTAACAAGTCAGAAAAACCCTTTTTTTACTATCTCTCTATATTTCTTTCGCTCTGAATGTTACTCTACATTATTATAGGACATCATGTATAGTTCGTAATGTATTAAATGATTTTAAATAATTTATTGAAATGCATTGAACAATTTAACAATGACATTGAATTTAATTTATTTTGTTTTATGCGTACATATTCATACGAACATACTCAAGCGTGCATATTCTAATTTTGTAGTTTATAATCTTTAATAAATTAACGTAAAGTTATACCTTTTGAAATATGTTTATCTTCTCGCCGAAAGTAACAAACAATTTTCTAGGTTGAATCAATTTCAATTACTCTTATTGCACACACGGGGTGTTGTATAGATAAAAAGAATCTCATTTCGCTTAACCCACAAGGTTAATACAATAAACGATAATAATTATTACCAATATTTACCTAATAAATTTTAGTGTGTATTTTTTTCCTATTTGAAAGCAACAGTATCGTAAAGTTGCGCAATTTTCCGAAAATTCACATCGTTTTTCTGCATTATTCATCGACGTTTTCGAATTCCGTTCGATTTAAATTTACAAACCGCTCGTCTGCGTAGAGGTTAATAATCGGGTCGACAAACCTACATTTTCGGTCGTTGCACAATTTTTTTTTCTTCTAAATCTAAATTGTAATATCGAAACGTCACAGTCACAAACGTTTACCTCCGAAATAGTATAAGTAGATCACGTCGGATCGCGAGCGTCTCGAGAGGTCGCTATGATAAAGAACAATTTCTATAACATTCTATATTTAAAGTGGAACGAAAGGCGGTTCTCTCGGATTTTGCATAAGTGTGTGCATTTTCGTCATAAAATGTCGAACGAATGAAGAAACGATCGGAGCTGGTTGGATAATTTTTTTTCTCTCGAAATTGCTGCAATCGAAAATTGGAACGAACTACTATTTTATTCATTGTGCTGTTTTGGTTTTAGTGATATCGTTTTTGTATTTAAGAGTGTCAATTATCTACCTACCTAAAATTATAATAGTTATTCATGCATGTGAGAGTGGATTAACAATATTTTTGAAATTGTTTTGAAAGGAAATCGGTGGTACCGAAATAGCAAACAATTCATATAAAAGAGTAATTAATATTTCCTTTCAATTCAAGACGGTTTCAATACAAATTCAATGCTTCTGGAATACATTTAAAATTTTAATTGCCATTCAAATTTATTTTCGTTTTGTTTACAAGAAAATTCTACTATTCTAAAAAAAAGGTCAACTTATTTTTTTGAAGATCTTATCCATATTTTACAGTTGGAAACGTGTACGTAAAGAGTTTTTCGCGGTCACATAGCATCCTCATTCGTAGGTGTAATACTTACATTATCGCGTGCCTTCGGCTTTCGGCCACTTGTTTCTTTTTTTTGGTGTATACGTTTCCGACGAAAAATTTATACAGATTAAAAATAACAGACGTAATAATTAATGCGAATGAAGAAGTGAAGGTCATCTACGTTAAACGAGTCGCGAGTCTCGATTGACAATCAGCTGTTACAGCTGCTACCGTAATTTTCCTGCGTATTGTAGAATTTTTAGCCGATTGTTTTACCTGCCAATAGGCATTAACGATATTATAAATTTGTAGAATTCATTATGCGAACATATTATTATACCAATTTACTTTTCCACAATTCCTGATAGCAGATTTTTAACTGTTCGCGCTCTATAAATAAAGCGCTGCAATTTTGCAATACTGCTTATGATATTTTAAGCTTGTTTTAGTAAGTAATCTTAAAACATATCGATTTTAGAAAAACCGAGGAAACAAACAGAATTCTAATCGTTTGACGTAGATAAAGTTTACAAAGAGATACTGTTTAATAACAACATGACTGTCAACCTTGGGCAAATTATTCATATTTATGACATTGAAACGATTTTCGCGTGGACTCCGAGAACGATTAGGTTTTCAAAGGTTAAATCGTTGATAAGATAGCATTTTCATGTAAAACGCGCAAAAAATTCCTTCCTGTAAATGTGTAAATTTTCCCATTAAATATTGTACGTGTAGTTTCAATTTTGAGAATCAGAATAACTGAGTTAACTTAACTTGACAATTAAAAAATGAGGTCCCTTGTACGTACAACCTAATAAAAATTAATTGTTTCAATTTAAATTTCTTAATTACTAATTTAGATAATCTAATTTCTCAGTAGTTATATCTAATTTTCCGTTCGAATCTTATTTGAATTTTTGTTCACGGTGCATTGCTCACAGATGTAAGTCAGGGTTGATCTAATTTTGCCCAGCTCACTTTCCACATCCAATAATTGTAAAATGCGATAAAAATCGCCGGACACTAATTTTTTTGAAATTTGATCGCCGATTCCGAATCGTACGCACAACTAAAAAGTACAATGCCAGTTTATTGCATTTACATTACATTACAATTTCGCGTCGACCTACTCCAAATCGTTTGATGTGCTCTTAATAATTATATCAATTAACACGGTTTTTCGTATAATTTATGATAAACATGATTATATTATCTAAATGGGATTAGGTTAAGCTATGCGGCTTGTAAGTGATGCCGGAGAGCATGTGTTTTATTAATTACCGCGAAACCTCCGGATTTTCGTCACGAAACCGACTAAAATTTTTAACTAATTTGTATGTACGATATAACTATAAATTTTCATTTATCGCCAAACATCGCTCTTCCGTGTATCGATATTTTTGTTCACTGTACGACAAATTTAATTACTGGAGTTTCGAAATGTTGGTAGTTAAGGGGTTGCACCAGGCATTGCCACATGTTAGCAACATGTATTTTAACGTGAGTATATTTGTCCTCTGCTGTCCTCTTTGTCCTATGCTCGAACGCTTGCCCTTTAAAATTTAAATCATTGATTAGCATTTATGATTAGCTCACATTCTTATGCAAGGGTGGAAATTGCAGCATTGGCTATAAAATCAAAACTAATGGATATTTTTTGAAAATTACGAGTTTATTAGGATCTCAACATGATTTGAATGATTGTCAGAACTGGATTGGCAGTATCTCATCCGGTGAACAAAATTTTTTAGTACATTTTGCACTTTTTGTTTTTCACCATTTCCTATTTCATCCTTAAAAGGACTCCCCCAAAAAATCCAACGGGGTCAAATCATCTCCATTCAAGCGTAAAGCGTCCCATTTCGTAAATTTCCCTACCCTACAGTATACAAAAAAAGAACTACCGTTCAGATGAGTTTATAAAATATTGTTCTTCCGTGAAAAGCGACATATCTATAGGTAGGAAAACAGCGGAAAAGCCATCGACTTTGGGGGGGGGGCGAACAAGGCGAAAGGTGTATCGTATCGTCCTTGGCGCGTTTATTTCCTTTCCTCCCCCATCGTTCGACGGTCGACACGTGTGTGGATGCTCGAAAAAGGGAACGTTGCCGGAGACGGAGCCTCTTCGCCCGCACGTTCTCATCTTTCATCTTTCCTCCCCGGGCTTTATTTCCTCGTAAACGATTTATCAGACGACGAGCGGGAGCGGAACCTCTCCGAGGAAACTCCGACCTGTATATTCCGCACCCGGTCGGGGGATTGGTATAACCAATGAGCCGGTATGGAGTCTTCTATTTGTTTGCAATATTTCCCCGTCAATTTTTGTGATTTATCGATTGTGAGGCGAAGTGTTTATTTTAAACATGCGAGTTAAGATTTTTGGTCAATGAAAGAATCCAATTTATTTCTATATTATCTTCGATTTGGCATAACTTGATTCCTTAAGGAGCTATTAGCAATTTTGTTAGTAACTCTTTATAGTTTCTCTAGAGTATCTGTTAGTATTTTTTTATATCCATCCCTTGTGCCTAACCCAAATATTTAATTTAACGAAAATTTTGCACGGTCAAACAAATATGCGGCAAAATAACCGCGTTAATTTCGGCGCGCGGATTGCGCACGACCCAAAAGCCGGGGAGTTTCTCTTCTGATGGATTTTCGAGGGGGAAACTTTGTTTCCAACTCCGGGAAACGACCGACTAGATTTTCGTTTGTATAACCTGACAAAGGGCTCTCCAGCCATCAGCCTGTCAGGGGGGGAAGAAAGCGTACGCGTACCCCCTTTGCCCATTGGCGTCGACGAGCCAGCTGTTCCTTCTCTTATACAAGGAATTGTTCATGTTTTATCGCACACGAACTGCACGCGTATTGGATAGGGTAATATCGATTGCGCTTATGGGGAAATAGATTGTATTTATGTCGGTTGTTTGTCGTAAGGAAAGTTGTGTCTTCCCGACGCATGAATAAATTCGAATTGAACCAAGCGAAGATACAATATTGTTTACTATTACTTACTGGTCGTTATTTGTAGTGTAAAAAGCTTGTAGGTATACTAACGGGTCATTAATTAAAATTCTAACGTTAATGATATTTTATAAAAGATTGACTGTCGTTTAACATCCACTTTTATCATGCAATCACCTTTTTTTGTCGTGTAAAAAATACTGTGTGCGTGCGCTTTTTTAAATTGTCTATTATCGTACAAAATATTTTGTCATTTTTTGTGTGAAGGATTCAAGGATTTTTTCATCGAA